AATTTTTGCTTTATAATTTACTTAACAAACAATTTAAACCTGTAGATTATTATATAAAAGCGTAACTAAATTAAAAATTATCTCTGTTTGACCTATGGCCATTGATTTGTGTAATATTTAAGGAAAAAAACTACCAAACAAATCTAAATAAATAAAAATAGTATATGTCTTATTTATACTTTGTTTTTAGTTTCGTTAAAGGTTTTTTTATTTACAATACATTTTTCAGCAAAATTTGTTTTTAAATTTAGATGCATATTATCATTAAATCTTATCCTAAGTAGAGTATTTTCCGCTTGTTTAGATTTGTTTGGTAAATTTTCTAATCTAAAAATCATACATATTCAGGGCCACATTAAGAGCTAATACTGCCGTGGAGTAAACAATTATTGCTGCTCCCCTTCCCCTCCAAAAAAAAATTGACAAGACAGTTTTATAGTTTAGTTTTTAAATTATAATGTTATGGTTACTTTAAAAAAAAAATAAAAAATATTGTTCTGTATTTAAATATGTTTTTTTCTACATTTTGTTTGTGCAAATTTTTGTATAAGGTCTTCTCATTTTATTTCTTTAACAAAATCTGATACGATACATAATATGGATTAATTTGATAATTTTTCATGGATTAATAATGATCTTAAATTGTGCCATTAACACTGAAAAAGACATTTACATTAATAAATTGAAAAAGGTAAAGTACTAATAATGCTTTAGATTATTTCTATATTCGGGAACGAAAAATTTTTCGACTACTTAACGACCGCATTTTAAGTAAAAAAAAGTTGTATAAATAATATTACTCCAATTTTTTTTTTGGGATAATTTTAATTTTGATGCCCCTCAAAATTTGGCGCTGGGAACATTTGCCCCTTTTGCACTAACGTTAATGTGGCCCTGTTCATATTGATTTTTTTACCAATGTATAGTACAATAATTATGATGTCACCTTTTATTTAGACGTTTTTTGGATACGTTACCCGACAAAGGTGAGAAGGTGAAGAATTTTTTAAACCTGGTAGAAATCGAAATAGAAAAACGTCGTGAACACGATAAGCTATGTGAAGATTTGGCTGTGCTGAATATTGGTAAAGACCAGCTGGACACACTCGAATGGTCTGGTAAACATGCAACGTACGACCAACAATCTAGCTGTGAGCAAATTCTCGAAGACGACACAAATGTTCTTAAGATGATCGCGTCACATTCTGGAGTTAATCAAGCCAAAATAATTATCAAGTAAGTACGCAAAGAATAATAATTTTGTTTTATAATGTTTAACTTGTTTATAAACCGAGTTTTATTATTTTTTTTTTTTTTGTTTGTTTAGAGAAGAACAACCCGTAGGAGAACCATTGATAAAACCTTCAGATTTAATGGAAGTCGAAAGCTCTACGAAAGGAAATCCAAACAAGGAAGAGTCTCAGGAATTCAAGACGATCGAACGGTTTGCTAAAAATTTATGCGGGCGCATCGATTTACATTCACCAGGAAAAACGCGTTTTGTACCTAATAAACCGATAAAAAAACCAATAGATAACAATAGAAAAATTGCACCAATAAGTCTTAGAGAATCGGTCACATTGCAGATCGTTCAAGAAAATAAAATAAAGGTGAGTTAAAAAAAAAAAAAAAACAGCAAATTTCTTGTGTGTAGGGTGTATTATATTTTTATTTTTCGTTAAGGAAATAAAATCGGAACAACCGGCGAGAAGAGTCGTAGCGCCCTACAATTTCAACACGAGTAGTTGGCGCCAACCCAAAGCGGCAGACTTTGTTGATGTTCTCGAAGATGATGATGATGATGATGACGATGACATTGCCGATGCTGTTGATAACGAAGACGATAATGATTGAATGTAATTATTTTTCTACGGTAGTTTAAAAGTGTCTACATATTTTTTTGATGACAAACAAAAATTTGCCATTTCAGGCTTAACCAGCGTCAATACGATTCTTTCATGTTGAACATGCCTACAGTCAAGACTTAACTGAATCAAATGGTTTGGATAATACTACATCTTCACATCGTCTATTTTTTTCCTAATTGTAAATTATCAATAGATTTAAATTTTTATATTTATTTTAATAAAACTTCATAATATTATACTTAAACATTATACTGGTTCGGTATAAAGTAAACATTACTGGTTGAACTTGTCCATTACTATGAGCCGGAAAAGAAAATGAGTAACTTCTAACCATTCATAGAAGTATTTGTAATGCATTTTTCTAACATATAACAATATGTACCCTGTATGGTATCTGATCTTAAGAAAGAAAATCTCGTAAAGTAAATAAAAACGCCTCAATGCATTTTACGAGAAAATATAAATACACACTCCTCCAATGGTTTTTTTTACCTATTTTATATATATTTATTATTTAGTGAAAACATTTGCTTTTGACATCCAATTGGTACTCTCTTCCGCAGTTATCCTGATTACATTACATACAGTTTCATTCTGTCGTAGAACTGGATTTGTCATTTAGTTTAATGTTGTCAACAAAATGGACGTCGAGACTAACAGCTGTGATCACAGTCTAGATAATAAAAATTGTTGAAAAATATCAAATATATTACCACTAATAATATTAGACACCACTTACGAAACCAAAAAAAATAATGTATACCAACGACAGATTTTATAATTTTTTAACCAAAAAAAAAAAAATAAATAAAGAGGTTCTTATTTAATTGTTGTCACACAGATATATTCTATTTTATCATGTTAACAATTACAAACATAAACTATACATACATAAATTATAATTAAAGTTATCTTTTACGGTTAAACTAAAAGACTAGAGTTAGTTGATGCTAATTCCAGCCGCATGCTTTCTTAATTCTTAATAATATACAAAACAGTTGCCAAACTCAACTATGTAAATTTACCACAACAGAATAATATATCATTGTACAATTTTTTTTTTTTTTAAGGTTTATTAAATTTATTTTTCGAATACATCTCAATAACAAAAAAAAAAAAAATAGAAGTACGATTACCGATTAAAAAATAATTCTAATTATAGCTAACAGTTTATCAATGAAAATCTACAAAAAGCTATTGTTTTTTAATTAGTGTTTTTAGGAGGATTTTTCAGTAAAAACTGCTGCTGATGCTGTAGTTGCTGCTTTTGATCGGGCCAATTTTCGTTGATTTCATTTTCCAGTCGCTTGTACGCCTAGAAATTTAATATAATAATAATAATTATAATAAAAATAAAAACCTTTAAGACATAACGGAGTCATTAATTCTTCTTTAATAAACAAAAGTCACATATTTTGTCGTCTTTATTTCGTCACACTTGACGGTGCCTTTTTGTTCATTCAAACTATCTTTATCATAAGGAAATTCTCTCTCCGTATTCTCTTGTGACATCCAATCAACACTACCTTTCCGAAATTGTCCCAAAAATATTGACTACCATTTCATTCTGTCATAGAGCTTAATTCTTAATTTCAGAACACAGAACCCAAATTATTTATTTAGGTTAGAGTTATTCGAGGTTAAATATATTTAATTGCCAAATTTTCTAACTTTTAAAAATTAAACTCACATATTTAACTCTGGATATCGACCAGTAAAAAAATTAGTATCCAATAAATGTTCCGCAACAGATTTGTGTACCTAAACCCAACGTTTTGTTTTGTCCGACCTACATAGCATTTATCACATTGTATTTTATAAATCTCCGATTTTTTCTCTTTCCCTATTTTATCTTTGGTACTACCTTGTTGACATTTTATGTTATTACTTTTTGATGCAAATAGAGTTGTACCGTAATTTTTAAAAATGGTTGTTAACCCCCTTAAAATAAACCACACCCGATCTAATCATTTTTTCTTTGTCCCTCCTACTAAGCGTGCTGGCTGTTCTAACTTCCTTTGACTATTTATGCTTTTTAACTAATCTAAAAATCATATTTGCATCATACCCGTAATCGGTCTCAGTCCGTTGTTAACGCTGAAGATGACAGCTTTGTTTCCGTAATAGGTATACGAATGTATTATTTTATGGTTGAGGGTTTTTAAATATTCTTTAATATATATGAGTTATAACTATAATTTGCTAAGTTTTTTTCTAGTATACACCTTCTCGTTTGGATTTTGAAAGTTGATAAAGCCCCAAAATATAATATTAACAAAAACCTATTAAATTGCAATTGTTTTCTGACCAAAAATACCACTACCACTTTCAGTTGATCACTCTGTGCCTAGGTATAATATTATATTATTTGTATAAAGAACAATTGACCGAACACTTACGTCCTTAAGCTCCTTTTCGTGAGACGCGTTCAAGGCTTTATTCAAAGTACTGTTACGTTGTAGATTATACCATCCGTAATGCATGACACCGAATCCGACCAGAAACATGAGCACTTCTTTGTTGTCGACGACGAACCTTTTAAAACCCTTTGCTGCCATCATGTTTCACAGCTTTTTGTATGTACTCACGGGCAAGTATAAAAAAAAATTGTACTGGTACAAAATGAAAACCGCTTAATCGAACGCTATTTCAAAACGCGTTTCCACTATTGACTGTAAAAAAAAAAAAACAAACAAACACGAGGGATGTCCGCCGAAAAACGATTTGGAAAATAAAAAAAAACAATCTCACAAGTTTAGAAAGACAATGTTGTAATGATGTTTGGATGATTATTCGACACTGTAATATAATTGATTTACAATACAAACGACGAAAGGCTTATACTTAGAATACGGTTTGCGTTTAATTGAATTAGTTGGGATATTTTTGCATTAAAACGTAAAATATTAGGATTTAGACGCAGATTTCACCGACTCTGGAATCGATTATCAAATATTGATCACTAATAACAATAGATAACAACATTTTCAGAATATTCCATTCTGTTATCATTACATTACAGCTATTATGTGATAACATTCAAGTAGTATACCAGGGTATTGTTTGTTATCAGCTGATCCTTGAACTTTAAGCACACAATGTTTTGATAGTAAAAATGCAAATTCCATTTTTCTTTCAATACTATGCAAATCAACGACGAAGTGTAAAAACGACTATACCATTGTTTTTTTAATCATATTATTAATTTTATTGAACTTAACACGACCTAATCTATTTATTAGATCATACTAATCGCAATAGAGCGGCTACTGTATTGTAACTATGTTGTGATTTTTAATTGCTATTGTTGTTCAATGTTCATACGGCGCATATTGTGTGTGTGTGTGTGTTGATCTAAGAACCCATCGATTGTCGTTGACATAATCAAATGAAGTAAAACAAAACTGTCAAATCAAAATTAATAAAATTCATTAATGTCGCTATCCGTGTAATCATCGTTGTTGCATTCGTATCCGACAGCATTCGTGTTCGTTATCAAAAGGTAATCATTATGTTAATTAAATATAATAATATTGCTACAATAGGTATTTGAAATAATTGTGGTTTTTTTTTTGTCAAAAGGTAGTATTAATTTTATTTTTATTTTAATACTCATTTTTTTTTTTTTTTTATAGCTATTCGATTTTCTGTAATAAATAAAAATGTAGTTATTATTTTTAATATAAATAGTAATATGGGACGTGTACAATAAATATAACAATGACGGTAAAATTATGAATAATAAAAGAAAAAAAAAACATTGAACAAAAAGGCTCAATTGTAAAATATTGATTATAACTTAACAAAAACAACATTTGTATCAAAAATATTGCGGACACACCAATAATAATAATATTATAAAATTGTACTAAAATTAACCTTAACAAAATATCAGTAATAAATAAATTAACAAATAACTAAAATGTAAGTATTTTAAATAAATTTCCTATACTTAGAATTTTAGTTAAATTTTCACGTAGCAAAAATTGTTCGTTGACATGTTATGCCTCTGTTCATTATTATTGTTTAAATTATCGACCGGGCATGAAGTGATAAGTAACATGGCTCTAAATGCATATAATACGCGTTCGGCCGCAACCTGAACTGCATCGTCGGCCGTAGCAGCACGTCCTACAGTAACGGTTACAGGTACTGTGCTTACTTGAACTAGAACTGCATACTCTTCAGTTTGATTTTCGATTTCTGTAATATATTTCACCAAAGCCCAACAAAATTTGATTTTATTATTCTGCTTATTCTGCTCGACACTATTTTATAGAAATTATTTTTAAATACATCACCTTTTTGATTGGTATTATTCGATATTAAATCATTTACACGAACGTAAACGGCTCGAAAACCCAATTGCTGACACAATGTTTGTAGCTGATCGGCGGCATTCATATTTGTGGGTTGTTGTACGATCGACTGTTCGATTACCATATGAAATTGTTCTTGTTTGAGTTTTTGTTGATCCTCTTGTAATTTTAGGGTATTATTATTCTGAAAAGATTAAAATTTTATTAAAATTTCAGTAATAATAATATTGATGCGTATTATTACTACTCACATCGAATAATGCGTGTGACGGAGATAAATCCAGAGGAACATTCATCGATGCAGCTGCAGCAGTTGCTGCAGCGGTAAAATAAAAACGAAAACTATGCGCTGTAGTCCATTCTTGTACGACTTCATCGTCTTGTTGTTTTTCTAGTACTTCTTCCTCTGCGTGTACCTAAACATTAAAACCCATGTCATTACTGTCATTTCATTTTTATCAATATGTTTGCACAATTTTGTGGCCATTGTTTTGTATTTTACAATATTTACTATTTACGCAATAATAATCAGAGGTTTGTCCGACTGAAAGTGATAAAATTACTATCAATAAAATGCTTCAACCTATTCTGTAGTTTGTAAACGTATCAAATATCAATAAAAACCACGACAAAGACAATATTGATTTTATAAAAAAATTGGTAATTCAGAAATCATAATTATCTGTAATAATATATGAATTCTTTCATAGCAATAATTAGATGTTATTATTTTATTATACGTATTAGAATAACCTACAAAACATAGTATTTAATGTATAATTACAAGTTTTTAACACTTAATAATAGTTATTTGTTTTTTTATTTATTGAGAGTTACAGAGAAGATAATATTTAATTTTTAATTTATTAGAATTGTATTTTTCTTCTAAATATTTAATCATTTAAAGGTTTGTAAACATTTGGATTATTCTTGTATAAATATATGTTTATAATTAAATTTAAAAAATGAAAACGTACTCAATAAATATATTGCTGTCCGTTAATTGTTATATCTAGTAAAAACATGAATTAGCATGTGTATAAATTATTTTATCTGGGGATGTTATAACTTGTTAATGAAATAAATATTATTGTATAATGTGACAAAAATTAAAATATTGTAAATACCTGGTTGGATGTTTTAGTTTTTGATTGAACTAATTTTTGTTCATTTAACTTGTCTACACCAATATCGTGTATCTGCTGGAACATAAGGCGAGCAGCATCTCTTTTAGCCGTTCTTTTTGTATGAGCAGTACCTATAATATTTAAAAGAGAGTTATTAGTTCATGAATTGAAACAACGGAGTTAAAAAAAAAAAAAATCACTATTTAATAAAAAAAATAAATATCTCATTATAATAAATTCACCTGTTGATTCCAAATGGAAAATTCGACAAGTCACCTTATATGTAATGCCTCTATTTCGACCTTGAGACTTTTTTTTTTCGCCAGAACATATTTTTTCAAAATTATAAAAAGGGGCTGCCCATCTCTGAGTCGTACACAACTCTTGTAAAGTCCCTATGGGGTTCATGTTACAGTGTGCGATTTGTACCGACTCATAGTTTGAAAGTTTCCTTTAAATATATAAAATACTAATAGTATTACCTACTTTAAAAAATATATTTATTTATATGTAAGTGTAATTTTTTATTGGTTTGCTTACATGTTCACATCAGTTAGGTCTGTTTTATTTTCTGTTTCTGCAAATTGTTGCTCCGGTTCGGCAGTCGACGAGCTTTCCGAGCAATGCTTTTTCAAAGCAACACTATCTGTTAACGTAGTGGATGTGATAATTCTATCGCTATCGGTAGAAGATCCACCGGCAAGCAGTTTTTCTAACAAACTAGACGCTGCACTTTGTTTTGCTTCTTTCTTCGACCGCCCATCACCTGTCGCTGTAATCATGAGTTTTATTAAGTTTTTTTTTTAACATTTGAACATTTTCTTAAAAATTAAGGAGGATTTTTTTTTAATATAATAATACATAATATGAGATATTTATAATGTTCAAAAATTAATTAAACTAAATCGTTTCGTGCCAAAAAGACATCACATTATATTTTAAAAATGGAAATTGTTTTATTTTAATTCATCCGCTGTAACAAAGTTACAGTATTGTACTATTGTTATTTAATAAACTATAAAATTATATTTACAAAACTGAATGGCTGTAATTATTAAAAATTCAATTCAATTAGCTGTTTTTAAATTAAAATTCCTCATATTATGTATGTTAAAAATTGAACTATATTTGTAAAAAAAAAAAATGATTTTTTCATTACTTTTTCAATAGATAATTATGAAGTAACGCATGATTAAAATTAACGTTATCGTACCTGTTTTGTTACATGCAGTGCACAAGTATGTAAATATTGGCTTATGTGCATGTCCTGTAACAGCGACAAGTTCGTAGGTAACGGCCTTTTTGTTTTCATCAATTCTATCGCCGACACGCATGGCTAATTCGTTCAACAGCGAGATAGGCGTTTTTTTTTGCCGTTCACAAGTATTGGCCATTTGTTCGAGTTTATTAACTACGCCAGCCGTTTCTTCCGAATGGAATGGTATTTTTTCTGATCGCTCTTCACCCTTTTTGTACGAATATTCAGATGAATGTTTTGCGTGATCGGTGCTGTTTTGGCTGTTATTTCTGTAATAAAGTTTGCGATAGTGGTCATGACGACGTCTATACTGCGGTGGGTTTCCATTCGATTGCAACGTGTAATTTTTTTGGTAATGTTGCTGTGTCCATTTTGGATGCCAATTGCGATACTTTTCATAAAAACAAATCACAATACAAATATGATATTACAGTTCTAGGTCTAGGTGAAGAATAATAAAAAAAAATTAAGCTGTTATTATTACTCTTCGTCCAGATCCCTCTGCGTTTGACCCTAGAGGATTATGCTCGTCTTGATATCTATTTTTCTTGTACTGATATTTTTTGTAAGATCCGTTTACTCTTTGCTCGTTGTAATAGTAATTTTCGTAGCCAAAATTTCTATCGTACTCGTAGTCTTGACTATCGCTTGTCGACACCATCGTACCTGTTTGGACGTAAAGACGATATTAAGTTAATCGATAAATGCCTTTCAGACAAACGACTTTTTTTTTTTTTTTTATCACACAACAAAATATGCTTACTTATTTTTGACTCCTCAATCTACGTTGAAATCACCCGAAGAGCATAGGCGAAAAAACATGTGACATGTGTGTACATTAACAAAATACAATGTGTAATATTATCTTGTTTAAATTAATATTTTCATCATTTGAATTCACCGAATATTAACGTCGACAGTAATTATATTATTCAAGGGACCGAGTTCCACCGGTGCTCTTGTCGCCTCTAGTCGTGATAATATAACACAATATATTATTATTACACACCGTAGAGGGAAATTAAAATAAACCTGTACAACCATCCCGTGCGTGGTGTATACAGGAAGGGTGCTGTGACTCGTGCCTAGTACACTAGTACCTATTTTGCAAAAATATTTCATTGATTTTCATCTCGGTTGTCCGTGGGTTGATTTTACAACACTGTAAAAAAAAAAATATCTCCAAACCATCATAATATTGGTCGTCCCTGCGTTTTAATCGTCGTCGACAATGGCCGCGTTTGAATGAGTTGAAAAAACGATATTGGCCGAATTTCTCTAAAGTCCAATGGTCACGTCGACCACGGTGTATATCGAAACACGGCTATTTTAAAGTTCGTGCAGTTATCGAAACCGTCGCGGTGGTGTTGATCGTGGATCGTTATCGAGTCGGGTGAAAAGGGGGAATTACGAATTATTATGTCACCGATTTGTATTGTTAATATTATTATTGTAAACGTTTCCTAATATTCCGATAATAACGCACAGTTTGCGAACACCGGCGCAATACTATGTCGTCCATACTATGATTGTTGTGCATAGGTATCATTCCTAAAATGAAAATCTATTTTGAAAAACCCCACGGTGTTAACATTGTCTAATAACTTATGCGGTATCCATCATCATCCGTTCAGCAGCTGCTGCTGTACACGACGGTCCTTGCTCGTAAGTAGGTGTACAATAACAATTGAAATATAATTTTTTTTTTCCAGCTTATTGGTTTTAGAGAACGGTGTGTTTTTATGTTATTTTTTTTTTTTTGTGTGTGGACCCGCGATATCTCCTAAGCAGAGCCGGATTATAAGTAATTTGGGGGCCGTAAGCGAATAGCTATTCAGATAGGTATGCCTAATTGATTGAACCAAATAAATAATAGAACACCGATAAAATATAATATTATGATTCTTGTGTTGAAGACTGTTTCCAGTGTTGGGAGAGAAGGGTGTGTAGACTAAAAATTGCTACAAATTAAAAATATCACGTTGCATAATTTTATTTATGAATATAAATAATATTTATTATACATAACCGTGTCAAATTGAAACAACATTAATCAGTTTAAAATAATGATTAAATTATATGTGAATATACATATATACAAATTAGTTATAAAATCCATACATAATTATTTTTGTCTAGATTTTTTATTTGCAAAAGGTCTGGTAACATCTTTAAATTCTACATATTTTACAAATTCACTCTCGGTGCTAAAAAATTTAAGAATTTGCAGATTATTTTCTGATATTATTTATTTATTTAACAGGCACAAGTGCCCAAAACGAAATTTACAGTTATATTTGTATTATATTTATTTACAAAAAGTTCAGGACATTAAATATCTTAATACGTTTTTTAATCACTTTAATAGGGAAAAGGTCTTTCACCAGTACAATTGGTACACACAAGAGAAATATATAAACGCAATAAACTTTCAACATTTGGTAAACTTTCATTTATATTTAAATCAACTCTCAATTAAACACACCGAGCAAAATATTCTTATTCTTATTTTCGTTTGCTTCTAAGTCGCCGAACCGATCTCTTCGTGTAGCAAATATAGTCTATATAGAACAGAAATCGTACACAAAAGTATAATAATAAATAATATACTTTGTTGGGTCAAAAATTTAAGAAATTCACCTCTTCTTTTTCAAAAAACGTGAAAAACGACCAAAAAGTTTACAAATTTTCGACTTAAAATTATTAAAACTTATAAAAAGTTTTTTATTAAAAAAAAAAACAAAAAAAAGAAAGGGGAAAAATTACACTCTGACCGTAATCAGTTTTTAGGTTGCTATGTGTGAGTGAATCAACAGTCGACAGGTTTTGAAAAAAATGTATTATTTTATTATTGACTGACGATCAACCCTAATCGTATCCACTCTAATACTAAAAATACCATTTTAAGCACATAATTGACAATGATTTTTTATAAATCTACGGATACACATCAAAGCATTTATTTTATCACTTACAGTTTAAAAAATTCTAATAAAATCTACTAAAATTTTTTAAACACAAATCGTATAAACTAGGGATAAGACTGACATCCGAAGTATTCCAACAACCAGGTGTTTTTATTGATAAACAATATGGATTTTTGGATTTAATTATACGTTTAATTTAAGTTTAAAAATGAAAACAAAAATTGTTTATTTCGAACGATAATTTGATTATTTTATTTAGATAAAAAATTTAATCTGATTATCTGGATAATTGTCAAACCGAGAATTAATTAAATTTAGTTTGCGAAAAATTTAATGACAAATACAAATTAAAATTTTAAAAAATTGCTAGTTTTATGCTTTATATATCTAACGTACGTGTGAGGAGTCTTAAAGATGAATTATTAAATAATTGTTGTGGCTTATAAAATAACACTTAATTGAAAATATAGGAAGTTTTATAAAAAAGAAAAGTTAAGTCTAAAAGAAAGAAAAACAAATTATATAGCCCACATTCTTGAAAAAAAAAAAGAATATATACCTACTTATTTCTATAATATACTCATATTTGTTAAGTGGACTGCACCTTAAAATAAAGCATGCCCCAATTCAGTTTAATTATTTTTCTCCATAAAAATAATAGGATAAATATTCCCATCTATATAATGTGTTACAAAATTTTCAAACCGGAAACCCTCAATAAAAATGTTCCAGTGTACAAATTTATTAATTTTTTTACTTATTTCTCATCAACATCCTAATAGCGGTTCCATCCAGTTTAAACCACATTCAAAATATTTTCGAATCACACCAATGTGATTTAATTAAATGTAATTAAAAATTGTATTTAACTATTTGTTCGATCTTTGAAATATAATAAAAGTACTAACTAATTGAAAATACACGGCCAAACCATATGTTTAATTTTTTTTTTTGTAAGGTTTTTATATATTTCTAGAACATGTTTTATACAGTAACTTTTGATTTTATGAGTGTCTTAGATATTGGTGTAAGTGTTGCCAAGCTATTAATCATATAGTTATTTTTTTCCTATTAACGGGGCATTGGTCTCATGTAATACATCTTAATAATATTCATATTTTTCATACATACAACCCATATGTTATTCGTGTATAGCCTTCTAACGTTTATGGTTTAAAACTGTACTTGTATTTTTAGAAATTTTTATTCATATTGATATGATTTCTTCTTAATTTTTTATTTCGCATGTTCCCAAATAAATTATTTTTGCTAGTTTTATTTTATTATTATTTATATCACTGTACTTTATTCACAAATGGTCTTGTCTGCAAATTCATCAAAAAGTAAATAATCTTGCATGAAAGATTTTTTAGAAAATCAAATATTAGTTACTTACATAAAAAAAAATATATAATCTAAATATCAAAAAAAGTAATTGAAATATGTGTTTTTTTGTGCTAATTTTGTACAAAATTTGTATTAGTAAAATGTTCACGTCCTCGTTTTTGAATTTTTGGGTTTTTTTAAGTCGTGGGTACTTAAAAATATTTTTTGGTCTACTCGAAAATCCGTTGAAGAACAATTCTTAACCTGAAAAAGTAGGTAATGTTACAAAATTATTCAAAATGTTATTATTTTTTTTCATTTAATACTAAATAAACTGACTTACTATAAATTGCCGAATTTTAATAAAAAAAAAAATAATAATAATTTAGCTAAACCTTAAACTAAAATGTTTTTATTTTTAGACATATCCTTATAAATATCATCATCATTGATTATCGCCATTATACATTACTCCAATACGTTGACAATGTTTAGCATATTTTTATATTTAATACTTTGTAAAATAAACTGAACAGTTTTAAACATTTTCTATTATTAAATAATTATTTAGTCTTTTTTTTTGCTAAATGTTGTTGTATGTTTTTATTGTGAGGTAAATATACAGTGTGATCAAGTTTTTCTGTTTGGAGACACTTTATTTTGTGTTGCTAGACAATAGTCAAATTTTTATCGTTTGAGCTCTATCAACTTTTAAAACTAAAATTTCAACGTATATATATATAAATATATATTTATATAGTATTTTTGTTATTTAGAATAATTTTGAATGGTCGATAACCAGTTTTGTATAATTACTTTCAACATAATTAAAGTTTAAAATTTAGGACGAAGGGAGGAGTGTGGTGGAGTATTGCTGCGCTCAGATAAAAATAATACTACACTCCACCCTTCCACCGGCCTAAATTTTAAACTTAAATTATTTTAAATGTGATTATCCAAAACTGGTTATGGTCCAGTCAACATTTTCAGAAAATTATTCTCAATCTAAAAAGTTAATTATGTATATATGCGTTACCATCAAGTTTCAAAAGTCCTTAGAGCTCGGGAAAATACCAAAAAAAGGTAATCATTTAGTAGGTAATGTTATAACAACAATGTTTTCAAAAAGAACAAACGCAATTATTTTCCGAGCAAATGAATATCTTACGTTAAACGGATCGCTCTATTCAGCAACTTGTATTTGGATATAGTGTTTGGATAGTTTTAGAAAAATTATCAAAATGCTTTAATCGTTTCTTGAGTTATCTATTTTGTCAAGGTGAAAAGCGAGAGGTATAATATTTTATTTGGCGCTCCAGAAATTCACACCGCCTCGGATAATTTGTCTTAATCCCTCCTCCCCCACCAATCGGTCTCTTTGAGGCATTTGATACAGCGACATTTCTATTTAAATATACACAATATTATAATTTCGACATGCCCAAAAAACTCTATTCCGATTATTTAACGGATTTATTATGTGTTGAGTGTTATCTACACAGCGGACGGTTCGCCGCACATCACAGGTCATTCAGACGGCTCGTGTGTTGCCTGCCGCTTATGTTCATCATATTACAACAGCCACGTTTCGTTATCTAAGAAACATCTCCACCGCGAAAGTAAACATTTTACAAGTGCAGCACATTAGTGTTCTGTATATTTTGTAATTGATTGAACGTATACGAGAATTAATAATAATCTTCTCGACGTCGTGTCAAGTATGCGTTTGTCGTTAGCTTGTGCGTGGTCGCAATAAAAAAAAAAAAAAAACATTTTATGATTACTATTTATGTAAAATATCGTTTCTTTGCCAATGAAAATCCGGCGTCGAATCTAACGTTCTTATAATATATATATATATATATATATATATCGTACAGACGTAACCGTAATAATATATATTTAAAAAAAAATTAAATTTTCTTTCTACAGGAAACCGAAAACGAATTAGTCGCAGCGGCGTTCTGTTGCTATTGCGATGTCACTGTTAAGTGCACCCAACAAATCGGAAGTCCCTGCCAATGCATTGGGCGGGGAAGATGAAGTTTCCATCTTGTCTGCGGCCACCAAAAACTTATTCAATCAGACTAGAGTCGATACCGATTACGACGAAGAAGACGACGAACTGACCTCAAGACCAACACCGTCCTGTAGCCCTCCGCCCAACGCCATGTCTACCGTCAAACCGCGTGGTATGTTAAATTATTTTATAATATTAGCCAAGATAGGCCTCACTTCACTTTGCACTCGTTTTATAACCACCACAATCTGTTATTTTACTTTCTTGATTTAAAAAATAATCAAAAAACTATGGTGGTAATTGAAATGGAAAAAATCTGATGTTAATAACTTTTAAGAGCTTGTTGTGGAAAAAACAAAATGCTACACTCTACTGGTGAAATGATACAGGTAGTTCGGATTTCATAACCATGCGGTTTAATGGTTTAAATTTTAAAAAGCCCGTGTGTTACATCTTATAAACGTATAATTTTCAATTTTATCTTAAACTGTCAAAAGAATGAAAAGTTTTAGAGATAGACCTACATGTCTGTAAGCCAATAGTAAAGTCCCAGCTACAGAATGTATGAATGAATACTATGGCCGGATTTTTAGTTTGATTAATTGAAATTTAAGTTTATAATTAAACTAATAAGATCGAAAGTATTGAATCTATTTTTAATAATTTCGGTATTATAGTTGGTACCCTAATATTTTTCATTAAAATCATTATATCTAAGAAATGCAATTTTTCCCCTTTATATTTATACTTTTATAATAATTAGTTCGCCCAATATTGAAAATTTTTTTCAAAAATATAAGATATAAAATGATTAAATATTTACCTTTTTTTGGTATTTTCTAGGGCTCTATTAACTTTTGTTACTTATATGGTAAACGTATATATTTAGTTAACTTTTTACATTAAGAATAATTTACTGAAAGTGTTGACTGGTCGATAACCAGTTTTGGATAATCACTTTTAAAGTTTAAAATTTAGGACGGGAGGAAGGTTGGAGTGTAGTATTATTTTTATCTGAGCATGTTAATCCACCTTATCCTAAATTTTAAACTTAAATAACTTTCTATGTAATTATTCAAAACTGGGTATCGACCAGTCAAAATTTTCAGTAAATTATTCTTAATTTAAAAAGGTAGTAAAGTATGCACATTGCACGTTATCGTTTCAAAATCTTAGTTTCATTGGGTTTCACACATAAAGGATGGGATCATTGAAATATGTATCAAATTTGGCCTAACCAAAAACTATAATAAAACTGTGAAAAAGAATAATTTAAAAAACTCTTTTAAGATATTGACTTGGTCATATGGAACCATTCACCCTGTGTTCTTTGTATAAAAAGTTGATGGATAAAATAAATAATAGTCGATCCCAGAGCTAAGCACATTTATTCATTAAACGATAAATATAATTAAGTTATGATCACAACATGTTTTTTTCTAATTAGTGATTACGGATTACAATAAAGTCCAAATATAAAGTACAGGGCATGTCTTTCCTTTGTGTTATATATACTTAGTTGGTGGGTAATATTTTTATAGTATGTGTGTGTGTGTGTGAGCTTTGTATTCGGCTAAAATTAGAGAACTACGACCTACACTTCTATTTTTAAAAAAAGAACAACGGTAGGTAGTGTTGTTGAATGTCATTTTTATGCCAACTTGAGTCGACTTTACTCGTCGGTGACACAAAACAGATCATTACTACTTGCCAGTTTACTTTGTAGTGTTCCGTTATCGTTGAATCTAACATAAACAAAAATAATCATAGCTACTGAAATTTATCTCCTTTTTTTTCCCCCGATTAATTTGTACTAGTAATATTATTAATATTTGAGTATTTTTTTTTTTTCAACTACTGAATCGTTACATTTTTACCCCGAATCCTTACTATGAATAGACGTGGACTAATTAACATAAATCCTTCCACCGGATCTCCATCGCCACCACCACAACCGTCGAATAGTGCATCTGCTTATCAGAAATCACATTTAAGACGGGCGTACTGTAAATCTCCAAATGCACTTGTTAACAGGCGGAATCCGAGTCGGATTCTGATCGTGGATATTCGCTTAGGGATTTTTCAGATGATGGTAATATATTATTTTACAAGTATCTAAGTACTAAACTCCTCGTACATTATGTTACTATAACGTCTGTTTGACTAAAATCATTTACATTCATTCGTGTAAAAGTATTTTCCATAGATCACTGGTGAGGTTGAAGATTCAATCTTTATACCTGCCACTAATATCTCTAATCTTATAATATTGTTGACAGTACTAAAATAGAAAAACATCTTCGGAGGGGCTAAAATCCAATTGTTTATAGTATAATAAGTATATATTTATGTAATTTTTTCTTATACCTCTATATTAATTAAAAAAATTATATTTTATGCAAGAATAATACTGTGAATTATGAACTAGTGTACAAGGCGATACATTGCAATTTTATAGTTTTTCTTTTTTAAAACATGTTTTTATTATAAGTATTAATATTAAAAAACTACTAAATATTTACCATTTTTAGTATTTTCCAAAGCTCTTATCAACTTTTGAAACATAATTAGAAAGTTATATATTTTATTACTTTTTTGAAAGCAGAATAATTGAAGTCCCAGTTTAAGTTTCAAAATTGATAGCGCTCTGGAAGAAATTAAGAAGATTTCAGAAAAAATTTGAATATTTTCTAATTTTAGTAAATTCTCCTCACTATCATCAAAAAAATTGTTTAAAAACTAAAAAAAAAATGCTCGTTAAATCGCACCTTTTTCAAATTTCTATTGAACTTTTAAATCGTGTCCTTTTGCGTTATTATTTTTAATCTTTATGTCAATTCACTACAACATATTTTTTTTTATATTTAATTAGGAGAGTTATTTTTTTATTAATGAAAAATAAATAAATTTGTACTGATTGTTTAAGAACACAATACTTAAATGTAAATTATTAACAAATACAATGTTTTAAGTCCACCTTACATAATATATACTTGGATGTGATCCTATATCATTAATTATATCTCTTATCCGCTACTAGTCCTGCGTGATACGTTTATTGCACTTAGGTAAATCACTTAAATTCCTTAGCTTTAGTACTTTAGTTTTACATTTAAATCAACCCGTAAAAATAAATGGTAATTTATTTAAGTGTTTCTTTATTTTATACAGCGTTATAAGTGCTGACTAAAGACGGTCGAATGATTGCGCATAAAATACATATTAATATATGTCACAAACTTGATACTGTCTAAGGATATTCAAACGTTATTTCGAGAGACCTATAATTTTTTATCTAGACCGTAGCCACTGTTAGTTAGCCTCTTTTCTTCTATTATATATATATTATATAGTTTAATTAATCAAGTGCATTGAGAAATGAGAAGTCTTGTTTGTACAGCGGCACGTACTCCTCGGTTACACGTGATCGTTAAACAAGGTGACCGAGTCTCTCGCTCTCTCTCTCTCTCTCCCCATATACGATTTAGGCGAACGCGGATACCCTTGCAAAATAGGAATGCTATTCCTGTTGTGAGGCGTTATCGCGCCAAATCAGAGTAAACGCGCGCGCCTTGCTTGTCGAGAATCGGGCTGCGGTTGTATATTATTGAGCTTCTTGAATGGCAAAAAAAAAAAAACACATTTTTCCACGATAAAAATATGTTATTTATGTAACATTATAAACCGCTATTGAATATTATGCTAGTGTGTTTTATCATCTCTTTGTGTACACAGATAGTGATGACGACGACGACCCAATGGCCACATCTCCTCCGGCGATGCAACAGAGTTCAGCCATAAGCGCCGCATCTTCGACGGGAACTGCACCTCAGATCGCCTCCGACTTGGCGTCTAACGTAGGTGGCAGCGTCACGTCTTCTTATCAGCTACCACAATTTCCAATCGAACGAATCGAAAGCAAAATGGCCGCAATTAGCAATAGGTATGTGTTTTTTATAGTGTTTTTATTAAATAAATAAAAAGCCAGTATAGTGGGGACACGGATACATATATATATATTTATTTATTATTATAAACTAGATTGCTATAAGAGTTCATGTCGCCAACAGAATTTTACCATTATCCCCCATCCTTGTGGGAACTAGAACCTTATTAAATGTTTATTACTGTTATCACTGTTTATAACAACTACAAGTTAAGTTGATAACACAGAATCATATATATATATATATATATATATATTATTTTGTACACACAGAAATCCCACAAAAATGGCGAAGTCGACTTCAGTTCTTATCACTAGTTAGAGGGAACGGAGCATATTGAACGAGAGGGGGGAAAGGTCACAAGGTTTATATGAATAATAATAATTGAAAGTGACAAAATCAGTTTCGAATAAACGCTTCGGCGAATGATAGAAGTACAAATATCGATAAAAGCATTGTACCTTATGACAATGTTTGAAAATTTGTTTTAAGTACGAGGGTGGATGCGATTAGAGTTGCTCGTCCGTCTATAATAATTTATTGCTATACTTATACTTATCCATATATATATATATATATGCTTATCAATTATCATACATATGCTTATCCATATATCGTAATTGAAAATATAACTAAAATATTTTCAAATACCTGTTGACTGTTGAAGTCGCATAGCAATCCAAAAATTGATTACGGTCAGTGTAGTTTTCCCCTGTTTTTTTTTCGTTTTTCTTTTATAAAAAAAAAAGGTTGACTACATTTTTCTGAGAAAATTGTACATTTTATAGATCTAGCTTTAGTCTAATTTTCCGAATTCAACCCATAAAACTTCACCTAAAAGAGGAATATAAAAAAAATGTTCCACCCCTTTTAGGATAGAAAGTGCCTATGATGTTTTTTTTGGTTGGTCGACGTTTTTCTTGTAGTACTATGTCTTAAAGAATATTCCATACAGATTTTGAAATAATTCGATTAATTTAAAAAATATTTATAGTAATTTAAGTTGAAAAACATATAAATTTGTTTGTTTTTTTCGCGTTTTTGAAGGAGAAGGGGTAAACTTTTTACATGTTTGGCTTTTTTAAGTACCTTCTAAGTACGATTTCTGACAAGATAAGATAACGTGGGTACAGACAAACAAATTAAAACATTTTAAAGAACACATCAATGTTCATACAATACCTTCTCAACTCCGCATCGAAACTAAAATTGATTAATAATTGAAATTATTTCAAGTTTTGTTCAAAACCATTTCGAAAACATAAAATAGAGATACGCGCGCTCTTATCTATTGTTCTTAAAAAAATCATACACTTATGTTTACTGTGTAAACATAATAAAATATATCTTTATTTACGTTTATACTCATGCATACTTATGAAAAATCAAAACGTTTTCGGCTTCATTTGTTTAGTGTAATTTTGTCAATTTTAAAGTCGAGCTACAGTGGTGAGTGTTATTTTATTACACATTGTATTTAATTTTATTCAGAGCTCTATCAACTTTAAAAACTTAAACTGTAACATAATTATTTAATTTACTTTTAAAATTTTGAACAATTTGCTGGACATTTTTACTTGTCCGTTAACCAGTTTCGAATAATTACTTTTACAGCTAATAAAATTTAAAATTTAGGACTGCAATAATTATCCAAAACTATTTATCAACCAGTAAAAATTTACCACATATACACCATATACATTACCATTTATTTTTTAAATGGACAGAGCTTTGGAATAAAATTAGATAAATATTAAGTAATTGTATGGTATTGTAATATAACATAAGAAAAAAAATATTTTCAAAAAGAAAAACTAAAAAATTGCAAACATTTCAAGAAAAAAATAAGTGCACCTAATGAATCGTATTGTATGGTTTGTAATGAACTCGAATTTGGTCACGGGTTGAACAATTAACGTTCATTTTGTAAAGCTATTCCTGTAGTCTGTGATTAGGGTCTAAAATAGTCAATTTTAAATTTAAATTTCGATTAAAATACCGTTACCATTGTTTCAATATACTTCCATCCAGTCAATCACACCTCTATATTTATGTACCTATTCTCAAAAATAGAAGATAAATATTTTTTAATATAGTTTATGAAAAGCTGCTAAATATCTGATTAATATTAACTTCTTAAGGGTTGCTTGGTTCAACTCTAGTAATGTTTTCCCGTTCCGTCTTTAATAATATATTCTTTCGTAATATTATAGTAAATGAGATGACGGCTAACCACGTTTTTGTGCTTATTTATAAAATATGTGTCATCTTTTAATTGATCTGTACGGTGGCAAAGCGTTGCGTAATTGCCTTGTCTCGTATTGTTCTTATAAAATAAATGAACAATTTGTTATTTTGTCAGCCGGTAAATACTACAACACTTCAGAGCTAGTAGAGGCTTACATAACGTATTATCGTGAATATTAATTAATATTATTTCAATATTAATATTATTTGTGTGACTTATGTTACTGTGATAAATACCACGATGAGCTGCATAACAATAATGTGTCTTAATACCAGCTATATTTCTTGTATATTATTATCTTTCTAATAAATGTTAAATTAACTTACCTGACAAATCACTATTTGCCACACAACTTTTATTTACCCGTGACCTCGTGGCTATATTAACGATGAGAAGGTGGAATAAGTATTGACCTAGTGGCTGATAGACTAGACTAACGATACAGTAGGGTTTCTTTGTGCTTGTAATGTAATACAATTATTATTATAAATGTGACGTCATACACAAAGCCAATTATCGTTCTGGTGCGTTCGTCTTGACGATATACGCATAGGACATGATTGATTTATGCAAAAAAATCGTTTTTCTAGCTGCTTGTTTTTTAATTTTATTAATATAAGATATTCTATAAAATAATAATCACATGTTATCGTATCCGCAGAAAATATATCCTGTTTGCAAAAACCTTATTTATACTTAAAGTTTTGTGATAATCATAGTGTAAATGGTAAAATTGAAATATTGTGTAAAATTTCATCATTTCATGTATTTTCTATTTATCTCACAATCCGTTTACTTTCTTGATTTTTTACAATTATAATCAAAAAATCCTATTCTATATGTTAACAATAATATTTATTTATATAAATGTTATCGTACGTTTTGGTTTCATAATAAATCGAACAAATTTAATTGAACACTAGTGGTCTATCTTCTAATAGCTCCAGTGTAAAAGAGTGTTACACCTTTATTTGTTTTAATTATGTACATCGAACCCGACACATGTTTTTGTAAAACCAATATATGTGTGTAAATATTGTATTTTTTCACATTTATCGCTGATAAAATATGTAATACGTGTGTGTCACCACGTTCATTTCATTATTGTTTGTTACTTGTTATTTTCTGCTATCAGATTGCTTTATAATAATAATATAATCTCTGCTTTTATTTTATCATAAATGAAATAAGACAATAGTCGAAAAAAAAATGTTCCATTATATTTTAATATACTTGTTTAATACACTTCAATCTTTAGGAATTGAAATTTTGCAAATTTTTACTTTTAAAGAAACCGAATTTGACCCAAAAGTAAAATACTTTTTCCGTGAGATTCGACTTGTTGTTTGGCCAGTAAAAAATGGTTCACAAACATGATCATTTGTATATTATTATAATATTTTATATCTACCTTGAAACGATTGAAATATATTTTGCTTACAATGAATTATAGGTACGGATAGTGTATAAAATGTATGGATTTCGAAAACATATTTTATTTTGAATATCGCTCACATAAATACCATACTAGAAGATATAAGTACAAGCATTAAATATTATTCACAAAGTTGCATTCATAAGCGTTTTTAATAAAACTGATTAAACACAATCTCTACGAATTGCAGTTTCCAACGAGTGATTGACCCGATAAAATTACTGCTTGTTGTGTTTTTTTTTTGTTGTAAATTTAAAAATTTAACATGTTTGCACTGTGTAAACGTTTTTACTGTCGGTTCATCAGGCTGTACAAACTACACGACGAGGCTTGTTGCCTAGTTGAAAGAGATTCTTCTGTTTTTGTTGTTTAGTTTTAAATAAATAATATGTTTAGCTTGGTCGTTTAGAATAGAGGATTTGATTTCCAAAATAATGTTTATCTCGGTGTGCTTTGCAAACGTGCGTGCGTTTGATTTGATTGTTTACTATAAAAATATATTATATGTTAATTTTGTTGTTGATAATAAAAATGGACTAGGTTGAAAAAATGATAAAAATCCATGTGGCATTTTAGTAAATACCTAGTGTATGCCTATTATTGAGTCGGTAGTAGTAAGTAGGTAGCCTTTGACCGCCCCTTCTTCTAACCTTGATATTTTTGTGTTACCGAGTTCATAAGTCCACGAGAAAACGTAGATAAATCAATTTAGAGTAGTACGAATAAACGGTCAAAGTAGAAATGAAACAAGTTGTGTCGTAGCGTAATAATTGAATTAATGTAATAGTACAAAACAAATATACAGAATGAATAACTGCGGTGGTGGTCTTTGATCCGCCGTCGTGACTTTTACTACTGTCGCGCGTTTATATATTATTTACCGACGAGTTTATGACGCGGTGTCGGTGGTGGTATACTACACTAGTATATTAATAATGTACCGCTGCTGATAATAAATGTTGTTTTTGTTTCAAATGCAATCATAGTACAAACCTAATAATATTATGTTTAATAGATCCTCGTCGGCGATTGCCCGTCCGCACAAGCCGCCGGTCTTTACTCGGAATACGTTATACGTTTTTTTTTTTTTTTTTTAATTAATTAATTAATTTTTCCAATTATTTTTAATGATTTTTTATGATTTGCTCAATCCGTCTAGTCTGGCCAAAGAGTTCGATGAAAAAAGAGCCGCGACGGCGGCCGTCCACGGACAACAACCCACGGCACAACCGGCGACATCTTCGAACGTGGATGACAGTAATTGTTGTCAACCGGTACACGCAGATGGATCATCTTCGGATTTACCGGATTCGTCTGCCGCCCCGGATTTTGGTGGACAAACGGGCCACTGGCTACAACACGGAGACGATAGCCAAGGACAATACGATTTTGTGCCACACTTTCAGAGAGTCAGCATTAGCGGAGAGCACAACAGCGGAGTGAGTTAAACATGCAAACATATTATTACTATACAGTGTGGTTTAAGGGACCTCTACCACTATAGAGATACAAGAGTTATTTGGCAACATTACTAGGTTATATTGTAGAAAACGGATTTGTTTATGTGAAAAATTGTATTTCAATGTTGAAAAAAAAAGCAAATTCAATTTATTTAATTACAAGAAACCGACATATTTTAAATGAAAATCGGCTTCCTACATAACATAGTAAAGTAACCAAAGAATTCGGAATCTCTTTACAAAAATGAAATTGGACCGTCCTGTATAATCGACATTTTGTCTAGTTTTTTGGTACAAAATAAACCAAAATGGATTTTAAATATAGATAAAACTATTTAAATTAAAAATCACACCTTGAAGCTTATACAAATTAACCGGTTGATTAATTGACATGGTCGAAATTTATTAAAACCACATTTTTCTTGAATATTGCATGTACAAAACTCCTTAAAAATAGACCGCATGTAATTCTCTTGAGGTAAATATTTTTAACATTTACATAATCATAGGAAGAAGGATTTATTTTGATATTTAATATTAAATTAAAAATAATTAGGAAAAAATCACGTTGGGTTCTATCATATTTATGTTTGTGTATATTAATATTACTATTTGCCTTGTATTATAGATTGTAAATTCATAAAAAAAAAGGTTATTTTTATAAAGTAGGTAGGATCTATTTTAGTACAAACATACTGTTCCTAGGAAAACATTTGAATTATTCATAACATTTTCAAGGCTTCGATCGTAGATCAATTTTTAAACTAGTGTTAGTTCATTAATAAGTTTCCCCCTGTAGAGGCCCCTTAACGCAAGACGCTGATTTTCTCAGAAAATAATTGCAATTTTGAAGTTTTTCTTTTCGAAAACATTTCTATCCCCTACCCCTATCTCCCATTCCCTATCTCCAAGCTAATTCCCACCCCAACCCCAACCACATCCCTCAACTCTAATCTCTTATCAGAAACAAAAAATAGTTTCTGGAAAACCATTTTACTGATTATTTTTCTGTCTTGAAGAACCAAATTTTATCACTACTGGCTCGTTGAAAAGAAAAATCTAGAAGAAACTTTTTTTTGCTTAACGCAAACAAAAGATTATACATTTTTTAGATACAAAATTCCCCTTCCCTCTATCTATACTAAAAATAGAAAACCCTTTCTGAGATTTTGCATAAATGTACTTCATATGACAAAGAAACCTTGATTTTACAAGTGGAGCATTTTCCTGAAAATCAAAAAACATGCAGGATTCTACATCGGCAACTTTAAAAAATTATATAAAGTGATTCTATCAACCTACGCAGAACTTAATACAGATTTGAAAAAAATCGTTTTTTTTTTCATTGCCTGTTCCTTAAGCCATTGGCAATCCGTGGCGATTTCTAGTGAAATAAATTGTTAGACAATTTCTAATGTTTGTTGTCTAAACGTCTTATGCCAGTCAGTAGTCTTAGGTTGGGACGTCTTTTGCTTATAAGAAATGGATTTATTATGTCCAAGTTTTATCATACCATCCTTTAAATAATCAATATAATAATGTGTCATGAGATACCCAAGTATAAGATAAACTTCATAATACTGCTAGTATTGTTGTCGTCGTTTTGAATTTAAGTAGTTGAAAACATAGTAAACAAAGCTCTTCAACATTTTACATTTTGTTCTAAAAAACATACTTCAAATATTAGATTAGATGTAAAGTTATTCGTTGTGACAAACACAGTCTTTATAAACATGATAGAATTCATCAAGTACACTTAATATTTTTCTTTAAAAGATTTCGCTAATTAATTTAATGTTTTTAGGTATGCGATTACTATGATTTTTATAAATGGTCGAAATTACCTCTTAAATAATGCTGTATTTATAAGTTTGTTTGCAAACTTCCAACACAACTTATGACCCTTTAATGTGAGGCGTCTAGAACCTTATCGGCCCAACCCTCAAAAGTGAAATTTTACAGCACAAGCTTTCAAAGTTTTGACTTTTATTCATTTTTTTGTTTTGTTTTAATAAACGAAACAAATATGGTCACTTGAATTTGAATAAATTAATGCCTTTTCGACCATGTATAGAACTATCATAAATTTTAAGTTTTTTTGCACTGGAGATAATTATTAAAATTCCAATGACAAAATGAATTATGTGCTGCTTTCTAGCGAATAATAATTTTGAGAGTTGGGCCAGTTTGTCACTGGTAAGAAATACAATTCTGTAACATATTTTCAAATAAAACACAAATTGATATTTTGTGGGTTGGGCCGATACGGTTCCTAGACACTTCAATATTATTTCTTTGTTTAATTTTAGTCATTAAAAACCAAAATTTTTCAGTAATACATTTACCCTAAAAAACCTCACTTCCTTACTGATTATGTTGCCAAATTTGAAAAGGATTAAATTTTGAAAAAAGGCAAAACCCTATCTCATGTAGACTTTATGACCAAGACAAATCCGTTTTTAGATTTATTATACGATAATGAGGTCGGCCGGTACGATGAATAAAAAAAAGTGACGTGTTTGCCTTAAAAAACAGTCTATATCCATTTCGATTCAATTTGAAATACTTAAACGGTGTCCAAAAACATTCTTATTATGAAAAAAAATAGTATGTCGCCGTTTTCGCGTAACAATATTCAAAAATATATTTTAAATATTAAGAGATAAGACAAAAGATAAGCGATAAGAAATAATTGAAAAGAGAAAATATATCCATTTTTTTATAGTTTCTTTTTATGTTTCTTTTTAAAATAATATATTAGAAATATATTTAAAGTAAATTTTTTTCCAGCTTCCCCCCCCCCTCTTTTCATTCTCAGGACCACCCTTGTTGCTCTCCCTTATGACCCTTCGAACCAACTATACTTAAAATGTGAGCACGTTTAGTTGGTGCGAACGGCCATTAGAGAAGTAATCGGAGAAGAAATGGATTTATTAGATTTTCTCCGTTTCTAATATTGTCATATCATCAAAAACAGTGTAAGAGTTAACACTGTTCGTTTAAATATTTAATTACCAAATCTGCTGTGTGTAGGTACCTTTGGAGGATTTACACTGGGCGTCGCAACAACTCATGGAAGCGCTACACATTCGGGAACGTTACATGCGCGTGTCCCATCAATCGTTCCCTACTATCACCTCGAAGTTTTTCCACAAGAAACGACAACAGGAAAATGTATCAGCAACACAAGACGCGTCGACCGATGCGACCACCACGGGCAACTCGTCTTCGTCGCCTTCGGCAGACGGTACCGTCAATTCGGTAAACGACGCCAAGTCTGGAGTCAGACAACATCAGCCTTACCCAACTGCTCGGGTAATCAAGCACGAAGATCGCCAGTCGATTGCTGGTAAGTTTTTTTTACAGAATATATAATATAAAACTCTAAAATAACAAGTGACTTAATGATACAGTTTTTTTTTTTAAATCTGTTATCCATATAAAAGTCATCTACGCAATAATAATAATATGATTTAATAATTTTTTTACTTTTTTAGTTGAATAGACAGTTTTCGCATTTTATTATTTTTTTAAGTTTTAGGTTAATTATCCAATTGTTATATATATATATATATATATATATATATATTGTGTAGATACTAGGTATCCAATACTACATATGTTTTGACAAGACCTATACACTATGTGGGCGATTGTGAATTGCACAAGGTTTTTATTGCTAAAAGATGCCAAAACTCTTAAATATATTTACTAAGCTTTTTATGTACGGCTAAACGATTGCCATAGTTTACAGCGAAAACAAAAATCAGATGCCACCCTTTTATTGTGTAAAGTGACTAGCTGGCGCGAAAAATACATTACAATTTTCAGCATTTTCTCATTTACAGACACTAGTTTACGAAAAAAAAACAAGCTACCGTTGATGAAAATCTATGGATAAACACCAAAGTTATTATCAATTGAATAAAAAGCACCAAAACCCAGTTAAGTCCTTAAATTTAAATTATTTGAATGGGGTGTTAAAAGGTTTGGGGGTGTTTGATTTTAAATAAGATCCATTTTTCGAATTGTATAAAAAACATATTTTAAATAGAATGAGTGAAAATTATTTCCAATACACTCGTATCACATTAAATATAGTGAATTCACATAAGGCAAAGGTAGTCCTACCTGCTGCGCAAAAAAGCTATAAACTAATGTTATTATTATCAGTATATATCCGACTACTCCCCCCCCCCCCGTTTGAAAATTCATAAGTTTTTAATTATATTTTGACTATTTTTTTCGTCGAAATCAACCACGAATGGGTAATACTGCTAAGCTGAAAGTCCACCACCGTCAATTACTACACTGATAAATGATAACAATATTCCTGATGCAATTTACAATCTCCCCTATTGTGTATAGTAATGATACTTGATAGTTGATTTAACGTGCTACATTAGTTTACCCAAGTTTACCTTGTGGCATTTCCTTCCCTTATAGATATTCGAGTAATACATAATTTCATAAACAATTTAGACACCCCAAACCAGTATTCCAATAGTTAGTGTGTGCAATAGTAGTAGTATGTTTTACTGACAAATGATCTTTCAAAGAGCCATTAGGGTAAATTATAGTTGTCTGCTGTCGCAATAGGATTGCGGCGAGGATCTCTCTAATACTTGTTTGTATAAAGTATCCAGCACATTCTTCTAAACTTAATACCTAAAAACAAACGCTTAATTTTTATTTTTACAAGTAACACGTTTGACGATGGAATATAAGCTGAACTTAACAGCTGTCGATGGACAATTAATTAATAAATGAGAACTTTTTTATTTATTATCAACTCGGTGTTAAAACTAAAACTAGTAAAAAAGGATGGATCTGCAGTCTGCACCCGAATTGTTAATTTGATCAAGGGTTAAGGGTTTCGGGTAGGATATACATTAGCCAAAATATTAGCTTTTCAGATGTCCATAACCGTGTTTTGGTTATGGCTTCGTACTGGTGACTAGAACGAAGAACTTATTTTTCTCTGGTACATATTTTTTAATTGTTTCATACTTGTACAACCATGTGATACGAAACATATGACTTAGCAGTTATCTTACTATGACATTATCGTGCAATTTTAATTTATCTATATAATTGATAAGGACGATACTGTGCAGTGTTTAACAATTAAAAAAAGAAAGTATTAATCTTTACTTAAAGTGGTCACACTGTCGGTCGCCTTCAATTAGCTGAGTACAAGTCGTATGTTATTACAGCTCTATAATATATTTTTACTCTTTGGTTTGGGAGCCAGTCCATTTGCACCTATTTGAATGTGATATCTGTGACCTTCTCGAAACCCAATATGCTTCGTCCCCACTATGCCCTGACCTAACTGTGTAGGGTTCCTTTTTTTTTTTTTATAAAGTGTAGCATATTAAATTGATTATCCGGTAAACGGTAATGCAATGCCGGAAAAGACCACCCACGTGGGAAAATCTTATGTATTGCCATTTCGGGTGTGTTTTCTAACGTGTGTAAAAATAATAATAGCAGAAGCAACGGTCGTTGCTAAAACAGTTGATCAGCAACGACGACGGTCTTCAACACACCGGAGACCGTCCTCGAAGTCCTCTTATAATCCGTGGGCCGACCGTCGGAGTTCAACCATGGACGACGCGTTTACGGATCAACTATTGTTTGATATTGCGTCCGGTGAATACGGTGCGTGTGATAAGCGATGATCAAATCAGTTTTCTTTAACATTATTTACGTTTGAATCTTGTAACACTAATATATACACAAATTAATATATATATTCCTAGCAATTTACAAAAACAACAAAAATGCAATCTTTCCCTTGAAGGAAAGACCAGTATTGGATAATGAGCATGTCTTATGATCAGCTGATCCTTTTTGTCTCTTATCAGCGGATCCTGTTATCACTTGTTGATTTCCCCTTGTCGCCGTCCCTCGCTCTCCTCCTCCTCAGTCATAAGACATATTTATGCCAATATTAAAAAATTCGTGGGGATTATAAAAAGCTTTAACATTTTTTTTTTTATTAATATTTTCAATACCGCCGCCGCCGTTCTATTATAGTGTACCTACTTCAGTAGTTATCAGTTATCACACTACAAATTTGCACTAACTTAACAGTTCATCATCGCGTTATTCCATTGTGGATAACCGATAGAAATGATGTTTAAAATCCTTTTGAATGTGTATCCTATAATATTATGTTACTGTTAACTAAAACGTGTATCCACCGTTGATCTCGAGAGTTAAGTTGAAATTTTAAAATATTATACAATATAGTCCGCAGTCGGCACGCTCGTTTGACTTATAATTAAAAATAAATGTAAAATTACACGTGTCTCAACTACCTACCGCCGCTTTTTAATCGTATTGTATTTATTTTGTAGTTTTAACCGAATAACTTATATGATGTGCTGAGAACATTGTTGTATAATCGCATAGCTCTAATATTACCAATTACATTGTATTTTATAGTAGTTATTAATCGTTAATTATTATGTACATAGATATTGTTGCTTTGTTATGACGTTTTATTAACTACCGTTGTTTGTTTTGTCGACTAATATTCGAATGCTGTATATATAGTTATCATCATTATATTATTATTATTATTACTGTTGTTTTAAACAAATTTTCACAGACCATCCGGTACACCCACCGGCCAGCGTGGGCGACCCTTGGCAATGTGAATTCCCGCCGTCTCTGGGATACACAATACGTTCGCAAGACGGTGTGTTCCAATTATTCGAAGATCCCAATTCGGAAAATCCCGTTCAGGGATTTCCGTACCCGAACTTGGAGACGTTTTGTAAAGACATGACACGGCTGTGCACTATGATTTCCGACGGACCTTTGTAAGTTTCGTCGATTGTTATTTAACAAGTAAACGTTAAACAATAACAAAAGACTTTTCCTCGTTTTCGAGGAGAAACACACGAATATGTTTTATGGCACCCGCCCACTCCTGAAAACCTATCACCTCACATATTATCTCTTGTCACTCTCCTCCTCATCACACTTTCGTGTCTCTTATTATAGGCAAGGACACTGTATTATATACAGGTCAGGCTGCCAGACTAAACCCCTAAGTAGTAGATTGGCTTATTTATTGATGAATCATCAAAGGTTAGCTAGGCCGTATATTCAGGCACAGATGCAGGAGAGGGTCATGACCCCCTTCCCAGAAATTAACTTTAACCTTCACGGTTTATTTAAAAACTACTAGAAAACTTTGGTTTTTGTAAAAAAAAGAATCTGACATCAAATAACACGCTAAATTGTATTATAACTTTATTATAGTTTTTTTTTCTAATAAATCTATAAACTAATTTTCCAATATCTCAATCAAAATCGGAATTTCAGCTTCCATTGAGAAAATAGTAGATACGCCAAATAAATACTTCTACAAAAGTCAATTTAACTTATTAAGGGTATTGCATGCGGGCTGTTTTTGTGACGTTTCAGACCAAAAAGCCAGACAAAATTTCGGCTACTTAAGATGGTCTGATCTCTATTCTGTAAAGATGTACAAATTCTTTGGCAACATTACTAGGTTATGTGGGAAACGGATTTCTTATTTTTTTTATGTAAAAAATTGATTTAATTTAAATAATTTTGTCTATGAGTAAAAGCCGTTTTAGTTAATATAATTGTACATTTTTTGACCATGCACAGGCCGATTCAAGCCGAACAGATTTGAATTTGTTATGAAGTTTACTTGGAATCCTACGTGGTACTTTTTTGATAGCTTTTTCTTACTATAAATAAGTAACGTTTGAACATTTTATAAAGTTTCAAATTTTAAAATCAAATTTGTAAAGGGCTAAAATTCAAAATTGAAAAAAGTGCCTCGAAGGATGGTTAAGTAAACTTTATGACAAATTCAAATCTGTTTTCAAATTACTTATCGGATTACTGATTCAGCATGTGCGATGGACAAAAAATGATGTGTTTTGACTGAAAAAAACCGCTGGTATCGAATCCTCTTGATGATCTAATATGATTTTTTTTTTTTAGGATTATATATTTTTTCTTTTACTCTGAGCAACTTGACCCCTCCCCTCCAAATTGTATTTCTAGATCCGAGTCTGCGTCTATTATGATATAACTATCACGATAAGCCAATAATAACATATATAAAACATATACATTGAAAATTCAACTAGATTCGGATCATCAATAAGTAGTCTAGTTGCCTGGCCTGTATATAAGACCGTGGGCAAAGACAATGGGACATATCTTGTTGAAACGTGCTAATTTTGAACTGACTCCTAGCCATAAAACAAATTCGTTTGTAATAAACTCTACGCCGTTTTTAGTCGGTATATTTTACCATATTTTTTTTTTACCCGTTTTCAGTATTTTTTTTCCTCTTATAATCGAATGTATGATAATTTTTTGTTTTTTTTTTTTGTACAGAAAATCGTTTTGCTATCGTCGACTATCGTACTTGTCTTCGAAATTCCAATTGCACGTTCTGTTAAACGAGTTAAGAGAACTCGCTTCGCAAAAAGCTATTCCACATCGCGATTTCTATAACATTAGAAAGGTAAATAGTATTTTTATAATTAAAAAAATTAACATTTTTCATTTTAATTCTTCTTCTTCTTCTTCACTGGCATTCACGACTCTATTAGATTCTTTGTCACCATCCCTACATCCCTCCATCTCTTTGGATCCTGAACTATTCCATTCCATTCTTGCACTCTCAGAGCTTTAAGATTCTCTTCTACTGCGTCTAGCCACCTCTTCCCTCGGTCTGCCTCGAGGTTTCTTCTTAGTTTCTTCTCGTAATATGGCCCACTGTATTATGTGTCCTTTTATGTAACTAGTGACTGGTGCTAAGCCCAATTCTTCCTGGAGTTCCTTGTTGAACTTTCTTTCCCATTAATTTGTCCTTGTGTCACGAACTGGTCCGAAAATTTTGTAATTTTAATGATTAAAATATTATGGTAGTTCAAGATTAATTCAATAAACGCAATAGCTTATAAATAATTGACACTTTTAAAAAAAAATCCTACTACCAAACCGATTTCTTCATAAAGTCAGTCCATAAGAAATGTGATAATAAAAAATAAGAAACATTTAATATTGAAGTTTCTAAAGCTTTATCAGCTTACTGACGATAGATATTCTTGAATTTAAAATTTTAGTTTCAAAGTTGACAGCTCTCTAGAAAATATAATAAATTGTAAGTATAATATGAAATTTTTTTAGAATTTAAAACACAAATATGTACTTAAAAAACATTACAATTTTATTTTTTTAATTTGGAATTAAAGAGTTTTTTTCTTGTTCTTACTGCCTCAAAATAATTTAAATATGTGATATTCTGATAGAGAAAAATTAAGTTTATACCGTTTTAAAAGGCATAACATTCTTATGCTATAACATAAGAATATAAGTTTAAAATCTAAGTAAGCTGTCAGAATAGTGTGCTATTGTTGATTTTGATGGCTTATCGTTTTAGATGTAACGAATTCTGTTAATTTTGACTTATAAACGTTCTTAATAAACAATTGCCCAATACGTGTGCATTTTTGGGTTATTTTGGCTTTTTAAAAAAATATGAAAAAGTGTCTTTCTCTAATTAACTTTCATTTTTAATCGGCTAGCCTTGCTTGAATTATTTTTTCTATTACTATTAATTATCTTATTGTGGCGAATATATAAAATTACAGAGAGATCAATTTAACGTAAGACGCTCATTTTCTCGGATAATAATTTGGTAGTTTTTCTTATTGAAATTATATGTATTCATGTTATTTTATAATATTCTATAATTACTATGTACAAATACCTTTTTTAGTATTTTCCAGAGCTCTATCGACTTTTGAAACTTAACGGGTAACGTATATATTCAACTTACTTTTTTTCATTCAGACTTATTTGCTGAAAATGCTGACTGGTCGATAACCAGTTTTGTATAATTACATTTTAAGTTATTAAAATTAAAATTTAAGACAGGAGTAAGGGTGGAGTGTAGTATTATTTTTATCTGCTGGCATTACACTACCGCAATCCGCCTCCAAACAACCCAAAACTGGTTATTGGCCAGACAAAATGTTTTGAAAATTATTCTTATTTCGAAAACGTATTAAAACATATTTGCGTTACTTCTTGAGTTTTAAAGTTGATAGAGCTACAGAGAAAAATAAAAAGATACAATTTTGAATTTGTAAAATAACATAAACTAAAGTGTTTCCCAATAAGGAAAATTGCAATTATTTTAAGAGAAAACGAGTGTCTTAATACGATCACCCTGTATAGATGAACCCAATAAAAATATGTTCTTAAGTCACATCTAATATCTATATTATGATGGTAAAAACAGTTATTGTTTATAAATAAATACTATTTTAGGGATCGAGACCAATTTGAGGTGTCCGTCTAAACGTAAACATAACATTTCCATAGGTAAAGCGCCTTTTATACAACTCGGCTAGGGCTAATTTTAAAATTTAAAAAAACACTTAAAATAACAGTACTTTTTACTGTTGGTCATAGAAAGTATTATAAATCAAATGTATGTATCTTAAAAGGTACAACGCAAGGGTTAAAACGATTTAAGGTCGCAGGCCTATAAAATGGGCGGGCTTTCCGAGGTCTTCTCAATCGTGAGAAACATTGAATTGTACGTTTCTATTTTATATTGTATTAATTATTTGTGTTTTTTTCACAGGTCGACACTCATATACACGCTGCGTCGTGCATGAATCAAAAACATTTGCTGCGTTTCATTAAGAAAACACTAAAGAACCACGCCGATGAAGTGGTAACAGCCGGAGGGATGTCGCTTAGACAAGTTTTCGAATCGATGAAGTTGACTTCTTACGACCTGACGGTGGATATGTTGGATGTACACGCGGTAAACGGATACTTAGATTTCTTGCAATGTCAATTAGATGTCCTAATTAGTATGCAACGGCTAGCTGTTATACGTATTGTCTTATGTGTATTATTACTATTTTTAAGTATGCAATCTTCAGTTTAAAAAAAAAACGAATAAAAATAAAAGTCCACGGTCACCGACAATTTGTCACTAAAATGTTGGGCCTCTATGATTTTTATTACACTCATTTGAATTTATTTCTTTTTTACTATATTGATCAGATGTTACAAAAACATTTGTCACTCAACACAAATATGTGTTATGACTGTCAATCCAAAGTTTACTTAACACTACTTTTCATTAGGATCAAAATCTGTCCCTGTTAGACTTATAACGTTATGGCCGTTGTGCTTCCACATCTCTTATCCACTCATCAAACATACTTGATATAATATTGATATAATATACATTGATATGTTTTCTCCAAGAAAAGGATGAACATTTTGTTCTCATCTATTATTCAATAGAACTCATCTATCATGTAATGTAATTATATGCTATATTTTGTATTTGTGTGGATAATGTTTTATGTATATATATTTTTTTTTTAAATTAATTATTATTGTTTTTGGATTTTTTTGTACAATACAAACAGGACCGCAACACTTTCCACAGATTCGACAAGTTCAACGCAAAGTACAACCCGATTGGAGAATCCCGTCTGAGAGAGGTGTTCTTGAAAACCGACAACCACACGGGCGGAAAGTATTTTGCTCGTGTGATCAACGAAGTGGCTGCCGATTTGGAAGAGTCCAAGTATCAGAATGCCGAACTCCGTTTATCGATTTACGGCAAGAGTCGTGACGAATGGGATAAACTGGCACGATGGGCGATTTCCAATCGGGTTTATTCTGACAACATTAGATGGCTCGTTCAAATTCCACGTTTGTTGTAAGTGCAAAGTAAAAACATGCACTATAGGTACCAATGTAGTAAAGAAATTAATATTTAAACCCTTAACCCTATTATAAAAATAATACACTCTATGCGTATACGTATTTCTTCAGCGCTAATGAAAGGCTGATACGATCACTGTCAGTCTATCGTTAGCGTTAATTTCTTCACTATACATATAACCATAAGTTGCTTTAAGTTTTTTCTAAAAGGAACTAATGTATAGTTTGATTTTTTTAATAAACATAATAAGTAAACTACTGCAAAAGCAGGTAAAGTGGGGTCGGGTCATATTTTGCCAGGAGAGGTCACGGGTCTACAAAAATTATTGTAACTATAAAAAACTCTTTCGTGCGAATTCGGAGGTGGTTGGAGTACGAAATAAAAGAATTGTTATCACAATAATGTGCTTTAAATTGTAATTTTACTATAAGGGTGGATACGATTACGGTTGACCGCTTGTCCGTAATACTTTGTCGTCATCGTTAACCGTATATCGTAAACAACAACTTGATCAAACTGTTTTTCAGGTACCACTCTAGATGTACTTTCAATCTAATTTTCAGACCTCAAGTCATAAAACTATCTGGCACAAAGGTTTTGATGTTTATTTATTTAATAACATGATGTCTAAGCAATTTGTTTTATACAAGTTTGAAACTAATGCGACTACTTTTTAAAAAGTCATAGCGCCCCATAATGTTTACGTTGACCAATTTTTACACTTTTTGGATGATTTTCTCATGTTTGGGCGGAAAGGGGTAAACTTTTAATTTTTTTGACTAAAAATAAAATAAAATCATCATTGCAAAAACAATACCTCATCAGCACGACATCGAAGCTAATTTTTAAATAGAGTACCTATTTGCATTTAAATGATCAAATGATAGTTTCCAACAATAATTGGTCTAATGCGCCTAGTAATATTTTTGAAAACGGCGATTAGTTTATTTTATATTAAACCTAAAATTTGTTCGTTTTTTGAAAACAAATTGAAAATGCTTATAAAATAATAGGAAAACATTGTTGCAATTTTTAGAGCTTAAACCAAAAAAACTGAAAAAAAAAAGCCAAACTGTCCTTTCCTATATCGTTGAATCCAATGTCTAGGAAAATTTTTTCCCAATTATAGTGTGTTGATTGGAGATTTTGTTTTGAAAAAATCAAGTGATTGGTTAAATGTTGTTAATTGTATTTTTTATTTTTTTTCAGTGATATATTCAAGTCAAACAGTATACTCGACAATTTTCAACAACTGTTGGACAACGTTTTTTTGCCATTATTCGAAGCCACCAATGACCCACAGAGTCATCCAGATTTACACAGGTGATTATCAATTCGAATCAATTATGAACAAAAAGTAAAGGGTGACAACTGAATCGATTGGTCAGAGTAAAAAAAAAATGATGGTCTCTACTCAAATTATAATATTGTTATAACGTGAGGGGCCATATTTCTTATAAAGCTTAGATAGGCTCGCGCATAACATGACTACCAAATTAAAAGTACTTCAATTACATAAGATACAAATTATAAGCAAAACTAATGCACAAATTCTAAAAAAAAATGTATGTACAGTTTAAAACTACAAGTGTTAAAAAGTGGAAAGGCCATCCATAATACTATAACTATTTGTGTGAAAATTATGGATATTATTAATATGATGTTACACGAGACCAATGCCCAGTTGTTTATGGAGGGGAAAATTACTGTTGTGTCCCAGCTATAAAAATTGGCCTTGGAAGATTATAAATATAAAAACCCCACATAGTTGTTTTAATATTATACTACTCGAGTTGCTTTGTTGCTTTTTAAAAAATCAGGTTTTGTGTGGTAATTATTTTTATGGGTCAGTTTTCAAAAAAATTAAAACACATTAATTTCTCAGCTACATAGACAAACATAGTATGAGACTCTCTGACCTTTCCCACTGTTCTGCATCCCCTGCTATCCTACCCTCTCTGATCTATCCAATAGTCTTCTCCTTCCTCCCGACCTGAACCCTTTTACCTACTTAATCAGCTGTTTCTTGTCACTTATCCATTATCAGCTGTTTCTTGTCACTGTTGTTGACATGGATATGTGTTATGCATTTTTGTGCGAAGAGGGCAAGAGATAATATTTTGTCTTATGGTGGTTCAGGCTACCGTGTTGTCATAATAATTAATACTGTTGTTGTTTTTTTTTTAGATTTTTGCAACATGTGGTCGGATTCGACAGCGTGGACGACGAATCCAAACCGGAAAATCCGTTTGTCGATCGAGACGTGCCGAAGCCGGCCCAATGGAAGGACACTACCGACAACCCACCTTACGCCTACTACCAATATTACATGTATGCCAACATGACCGTTTTGAATCATCTAAGAATGTAAGTACCTATTCCAACTCTTTGTAAACATATCAATGTATGTATGTATGTATTTCTATCTATTGAACATTGTTGAGAATAATGTTTTTCCCGTTGCTTTTTAGCAAACAAGGACTGAACACTTTCGTGCTGAGGCCTCATTGCGGAGAGGCCGGCGCCGTTCAGCATTTGGTGTGCGGTTTTATGATGGCCGAAAACATATCCCACGGATTGCTGCTGAGGAAAGTGCCGGTGCTTCAGTATTTGTACTATGTCGCCCAGATAGGCATTGCCATGTCTCCGTTGTCGAATAACTCGCTGTTTTTGAACTACCATCGGAACCCGTTGCCGGAGTATTTGGCTCGAGGCCTGGTCATCAGCCTGTCCACCGACGATCCGTTGCAGTTTCATTTCACCAAGGTGAATATTGCGTTCTGCTTCTGTCTACTTAGGCAAAAATTTACCGTGCACATTGTTAAGGTTTTGGGCTGAAGGTGGAATTACTATAGCGTCATGGCGACACCGGATAGTGAGATGAGATGAGATGAGAAGAAGAACATCGTTATTCGTTAGTTCTTTCCTTGAAGGAAAGACACTGGTACTGGAATATAAGACACATTCACGTGAAGAGCCCTGTTGACCTATTTTTTTCATTTAAAACTTAACTTATCGCTTCAAGCATGTCGACAGGGACAGGAGGGAAGTATCAGCCGATAAAGGATCAAGGGAGGAGAGGGGTTTTCTTTGGCCCTATTCCTACCTTACCTTCTGTCCTGCTCCTTCCCTCTGGGTATCTAATATCATTGATCTGACTAATCTCCAAGTACTTTTATACTTGGTACTTACTACTAGGCACTTTTCAAGAATTACCATTATTATAATTATCATTACTAAATGATAATTTATTTTAATGTTGGTTTTCGTTTTTATTTAAGGAACCCTTGATGGAAGAATACTCTATAGCGGCGCAAGTTTGGAAATTGTCGGCTTGCGACATGAGCGAGTTGGCTAGGAATTCGGTATTGATGTCGGGTTTCCCGCACAGAGTAAGCGAATAAACATACGTATAAGTTATTATTGTTGAACTTATGTGTGAAACATATTTTGTATTTAAAACTAAAATCGTTTATATATTATAATATAGTTTGACTTTTATGTACCTATCGTTTTTTTTTTTTTTGTCAGATTAAACAATACTGGTTGGGACCGAACTACACGAAAGAAGGAGTGGCCGGCAACGACATATCCAGAACCAACGTGCCCGACATAAGAGTGGCTTATCGAAACGAAACTCTGTTGGACGAATTAGCCGTCATATTCGGCACGAATACGACTGCCGGGAACATTACGGTGGAATCGACGTCCAACAACGTAGCTTCGGGAACATCAAACTAACCGCGTTCGTCGTACTCGGCTAGACGGACACAATTTATTCCAAATATTTAACCTTACAAATAACTACGTACCTATATATATTATTTTTTTCGACTATTATTTACTCGTCTAGTGATTATTATTATTGTATTCATTTTTTTGACTATTGTAACCGTTATCGCGTTAGTTATAATATTATTATTATTATTGTGTGCCATTGGTGGCAACAAAAAAAAAAAAAACCATAACATATTTTATCGTACCTTGTATTGAAACATTTACCCTCTTTTTTTTTTATTATTATTATTATTATAAAAAATTATTTGAATTGACAACACTTATTATATTTTATACCATATATTAGATATATTATTATATTAGAGTAAAACGCTAGTTTTTAAAACTGTAATTTGTATTATTCGGTATTGAATAAAAATAAATTATAATAATAACCGAATCAAACTTATCGTTTTAACGTTTCGACAGTCTAGAAAACAATATGGGACAGCTAAGTGATTTTTCCAATAATTGTTACACTCTCTTTGACCCTATTGTTATTGAGATAAAGGTTTTCGGCTTGGTGAATTGCTAATGTACAAGATTGAGAGACAAGTGAGGGCAAGAACTAACCCCTTGCTTTGGGCAGGGTTTTCTCTTCTTTTCAAAGCCTCCTTACGTAAAGGTTAAAGACACAAGTTTGTAGACTGTAGTATGAACAGTAGGCATAAGTGTGTAGTGTGACCCTAAGTTTGTTTATATTTTTATTTTATTATAGTTTTTTTTTCTTCTAATAAATCTAACTAATTTTTGTGACGTTTCAGACCGAAAAGCCAGACAAAATTTCCACTACTCGTGTACTATGCTTGTTTTTTTAGCATCAAGTATTTTTTTTTTTTTTACTCTGAGCGACTTGACCCTCACCCCCTACCCCAAGAATAAAATTGAATTACAATTATTTTGGTAATGTTTTCAAATTTAAAAGGACTGGTGATAATTAAAAAAAAAAAAATGGGCAATATTTTTATTTACAGAATATTTGTTCAATACTTTTCTCATATGTTATGTATAGTTTTCTTAAGCTCATACCTAATCATAAATAAGAACGACTAAAGATAATAATATAAAATGGAACATTTTTTAATAACATTATACTTACAAATAGGCCACCTACTAAAATATCTATAAAATATAATCGTTATAGGCAATTATGTGCTCTCAAAAGTGTCAAATCTGCAAATATGTGCAATATCAAGTTTGCTGATTTGAAATCTAGTCTTTATGATTCAAATTTAAATCGTATTTTAGTGTAATTCTGATTTCACTAAAAAATAGATGCAAGACCATAAACATCCTAGTTTTAAAACTTATTTCTTCTTAGATATTGCCTATACAAAACTCCTTAAAAATAAACCGCATGCAATCCCCTTAATGATTTACTGTGATTAGTTTTTTTTTAAATTTAACAGTAAGTAATTATAAACCATTTGTATGGATGGGATTTAATAAAAAAAAAAGTATTATTCTTTTACATTTTTACTAACAGGAAAATATGTAACCATCAGTATTCAGTATACACAGTGGAAAACTTAATAATAATTTTACTAAACTATGCATTTGACATAAAAATGTTTTTAAGTAGTTAGAAAATTTAAATCTCAATAAACAAAATACGACGACAGTTTAACTATATAATAAAATTTGTATAATAAACTTAGTATAGTAAGTCGATAAACTAAGTATAATAATTAGCATATGTCCGTAGATGTGACAGTTTAATTGTTTGAACACAATTATTTTTAATCCGTGGTGCAAAAAGTAAATATTCAGATCATTTTTTTTTTTAGGTACCTTTTTATACGTATATAATATAAATATATCCAACATAAATATTAAACGAAATAATTTTAATTGTACTAGCTTCATTAACTTGTAAAAAATGACTTATATTTAATAATATAGTCATTAAAAAATAATATATAAATATATTTAATCATTATACAAAAAAAAAAAACAGTAATAATATTAATTTACAGACATTTATTATTATTGCAGTAACATACAATTTAGTGGTTTTTTTTTAACAATAAAAGTATAGAGCTCACACAACGTGGATACTTGCTTGGACTTTGAAAAGACAATTCAGTTATTGTCCTGGTTTTAATTGCTGGACTCTTTTGGTTATACTTTTAAAAACATTTTAAACAATTTTATCTACTTCACATTAATTGCCTATTATGTCATAAAGCGAGTAAAAGTCTGTACATATAATAATATATTTTATTCATCACCGACAAACGCTTTTCTTACTGTACAAAATAAACTACAAGTTATATCAATCTAGACAGTACTTTAATTACAAACGTATGTCTTTGTTTGATTTTAAAAAGCTTCTAATAAAATTAACAATGGAAAAAAAAAACAACAAGTCGTGTATTGCAAGCGAGGAAAAATAGTATGAAAGGAGCTAATATTGATTATTCAAAAGTATCAAAAACCCAACTTCATTCGTAGCAAATGCCGATGTCAACGCAACAGTAGTTTGTTTCCTCAACACATTATATAAACGGTATATTATGGTTGATTGAAGGTACTTCAATAGAGTTACTTTCCTTTCCAGTACAATAATTTAGGCCAGGAATATTAAGGGCAACTTCAATGTTATTATATATTTGCATACCTTCTAATAACAAAGCCGACGATAAATATTGTTTTATATTTTCTCAAGAGATTACTCGATACGGATAACTTTTCCTTTTTTTTTTTTCTGTTAAATTTACAATCGACGACAAATATTTTCTCAAGGAAAACTGTTCAGTCGCGATTCTTCTTGTGGAAAAAATATTACGAAGCAGTTAACAGGTTTATGCGGTTTTGATCGTAAATAAAATAAAGTAATTTTGTTGAAATTTCACTAATAAACACCCGAGTTAAGTTATTAACGCGTTAATACACAACACATTTTTATTTATTTATTTATTTTTTTTTTACAATATAGAAGGTAAATATAATAAGTGTATATAATAGTTAATTAATAAATAATTAGAAAATAGTAATAATTTAAAAAAAAAAACAAAGAAAAATTAATAATCAGAAACGCCCCGAGATAAATTGAGAAATGGTCTTTGTTTTTTTTTTTTTTTTACTATTATTAAATAGGTTTTTGTCTCATCGAGAACGTTAAGTTGGACACCAAGAACCACGTGGTAATGGGTTGAATGACTACGGCCAAAATTAAAAAATACAGCGTTCTTTTGCGCTTGTACTCGATCATCACCACCGGATTATTAGTGTCCGACACCGAAGAATTCAACTGGCAACGCATTGAGAATAACTGAAAGCAAAAAAAAAACAATGTATACACTTAACGGCTTTAACGATTTATTAATTGTTAACGTCGTTATAAGATATGATGTCAGTTTAAAAGGGGGAAAAAAAATGTACTATTATTTTATAATCTAAAATCAACATAATTGTTGTTTTAATAAAAAAAAGGCTGTTAATACAATATTGTAAGTTGGGAAAATATTTACATTTTTTAGAAACTCGACCCGAATGCGTTTTTAATTTTTTGATGCTCGTCCAATGCCATCATCAGCGGGCAGGCAAGTTGATCATTCGCTTTGAGAGTTATGAATTAATTTTCACTTTAATAATTTGGTATGAAATACTTATACTAGTTAAGCATATGTAGAGTAAGCAAACATTTACAAAATAAAAATATGGACATTTAGAAATAGGCCCAACGTTGTTAAGCTACACAAATATTTCTATCGGCTTACGACTATTGCTTCTAACTATTCCGGTTACTTCCACGGGAGAGCGGAGAGATCACTTTAAGAAACTAAAATAGATAAAAACCTATTGGAGAAGTTTTATGTCTCAAAAAAACCACACTAGCAACTGTTTTTAAGTAAAAAAAATCATTTTAATATAAATTAAAATAGATTATAATTTTTTATCTTTATTAAAATTTATTTTGTGAATTTTAAATAGCAATAATAGATTAGAACATAATATTTGTTTTATCTAAATTAATAATAATAATATAGTATACAATCTATACTCAATGATATTATTTAACCAACTACCTATTATATTTTATACATTAATATAAAAAAATTATTATCAACACATTTGATTAAATATATATGAGAATATATTTAGTGTTAATTAAGAAGGTAAACTATGGTTAGACAATTTCATGTGGTTCATAAATTATTTAACGTTAGGAGGAAATATTATCATAATATTATTGTGTGTAATGTATTTAGTAAAATTATTTTCCGAAGATGGTCCTTCTCGCGAATAAGATCTACGGCTAAGCAAATAATAGTTTCGTTATAGATACGACGGCAACAAATTACTAGACAGACGATCAATCTTTTATTATTTTAGGTGACTTTTAGTTATTATAACTTGTTTTTTTTTTGTTAGTGCATTTTTGAAGGATTTTGAGGTCATCAAGTTCCGGACCCTACTTGGTAATATGTTTTTTTTAGATAATAATAATATCTTCTTACCAGAAAATACATAAAAGCCACGCTCGAATACAGGAGAGAAATGTAAAATGCAGTTTCTCCAAACATCAATCCGAAAGGAACACACACGACGATCCTAAAACAAATAGAATACATTATTACCTACTATCGTTGATTAGTATTGTATTATTGTCTTATCGTCGTCGGGTTGCACGACAAAACTCTGTTGGATCGACAAACCGATACCTAACCTGACGACGGGTAAAATAAAGCAGGTTATTTTTAAAAGTGTTATTTTCTATTAAACCATCAAATTTAATTCACTTTTATTTCCTTACCTTAGAAAGTGTTTGAAAGCTTTGTCACTACTTGTAAAACATTAACAATTTTGCTTCAAAACAAAAGTAATTGTCATATAAAAAAAATAGAAAATATTTTCGGCTTACGAATGGCCTAGTCTTAAAGTTACGTTAATTTGTTAATAGTATGCCGGCAACAAATGTGTAAAGAAAATGTATTTAACTGTAATTGACTAACTCTCACATTGCCCGACTGCGCAAACTACTTTGCAACCCGACAAGAATGTGTTGAAAAAGTATTATATCAATTTAAATTACCCAAAATATTTGTATCCCGAATAGGAAGTGAGGTCCAGAGTCCTTAGGGAACTTTGTATGTTTATAACGTACAACGTCAACATTTCCATCGTGACCACAAACATTTCCCAGGCGAGCGCGCGTGATGCGTGCACGCTCAACATTTCCGGACTGAACTGATTGTGTTTGCCCAGTATAAGTCCCAGCAACAGTAAGTACCTGTATGTGCAGACACCCGTTGTAGTTAGTTAGTTTTAACACGAATAGTCAAAAAGTCAAACAATGTGTAATTTTGACGCATATGTCTTACGTAATAAACGAAACGGTCGGTATGTAAAGATCTGGGGCGTTAATATCAGTCTTGGGACCGACACGCTGATGTCCGCCGTTATGTTCTCCCGTGGTTTCCAAAACAATTGACCAATCCTGTATTGACAAGAATACAATGTATAGTTTAGTTTAAAACGTACGGTTAGTGAATCACACGGGCAATTTGGAATGCATTATAATACCTACCAACGTTGTTTTCTTTATTGTTATATATTGTTTAGCGTTTTGGAACATTTTATATTAAATATTTTTTGGTTTTAAAACAATGAATTAAGTTTAGCAATTAAAAGGTTTATCGTTTAGAATGGTCAAACAAGACATAGGCCAGCAGACACGGCAATGAAATTTTATCTTGGACTAAAGTGATGGCAAGTAAGTAAGATTTCAATAAGTATTGGTTTAAGTCATTTCAACTTAGTTAGACTGAATTGTAAATGATAAAATATACAAAACGTACCGTACGTGCAAATGGAAATATCAACAGAGTCAACTTGCTGATTACATATCGAGTGTCGACGGCGAAATATCGCTTTATTTGTGCGCCGAACCCGCTGGTATACTTGCCCACTTGGTCGTCAACGACCTGACCCAATATTTTTTGTCCATATTTAACGGTGGCGCCGGCCAGCAACGGATTGCCGCCGAACGCGTCGACAAAGTTACTCGTAGGAATGAACATGTTCGACGGCACTTGCTGTGGTGAAACCTGCAGACCCGGGCCTTAAGAGACGAGTCAATGTGTGTTAGTACAATGTGTTACATTGAAACTACAATTATTATTACTGTTATTACACGTACTAGGGGGGTAATTTGGTCGCTGTTGTACACCGTCCATCATTGGCGAGGGTCCGGAATACGCGAAATTTTGTTGACCGTAGCCGTGTTGTGGCGCGGACGGATTCGGCGTGAAATCGTTGTAATAAAACTGTTGCTGAGGCGCAAACTGTTGGGGCTCATACTGGGGAGACTGTTGATTGTGGTAATAAGGTTGTGGAGTCGGTGTTGGCGGCACCGCCGCCATCGGAGGGCTCTTCGTGTCCAATCCCGGGGTTTCCATGGGTCGCCTCGTCAGACGCCTATTGCCGCTGCTCAAATCTAGATATGACAAAATCAAAATTGAAAATAATTTTATAATAATAATATCGCGCGTTTGATCGACGCTAAGCTGTATGTCTGTGTACGTACTTAAGCGATTGTCGTTAAAACTCATAGTGTGTGTGTGTGTGGTGTGTGTGTGAAGTTGAAAAATAGGTTTAAAATATTATTTTCTTTTTTTTGACTGTCATAAAAATATAACAATACAACTCCGAACTAAATTAAATTAAAATCATTCTAAACACAACGACGTTACACAGCATACACGGTCGTGGCCAAATAATGTGATAAATTGTTATCAGCATTTTGTTAGGAAAAAAAAAAAACGCCTCCTCGGCTGGTCAATTCGTACGTCACACACCGTAGTCCGCGGCCGGTACGTATACGGCAACGGTTGCGACGGCAAAACGGCCGCAACGAACACGGGCTTGCGTCCAAAATGGTGCTGCCGAAAAATTACGGGCCGTGGTCTGTCTGTGTGTCTATGTACCTCCGCCGAACACCGTTTACCGACTTGGTAACCGCGGTAGCCGCGGTTTACCGCATAAACACGGATTCGTATAATCCGTAGTATAGCATAGGATTAGATAACATGTTATCTAATCTGTGATAACGTTATAATAACAACTTTGTCAACAGTAAACAGTTAAATTTTGTTATTGGCTTTATTGGGCTTTCTGTCTTTATAGTGTCAATTAGGTGTTATTCTCTTTTAGCTTCATTGCGTAGCTGATGATCAGCCATATGATTTACAATGATGTGTTTTTAACACGGCAGTGTATGTTCTGTATTATAGTATACAGAAGGTCCTGAAAATATATCGTATTTAGCTATATGAATAAAAGTTAAATATTATCATCATTGGGTAGCGCATGTTTCATTTTATAATTATTTAAATTCATTTTTATCCCAGAAAAAATATTTTACGTAGTCATCACAAGTTTGGTAAATATTTGGTTGTCACCTGACAATCGACACATTCTGTATGCAATCGTTACGACTAGAAAAATAATAAATCCAATGTGAAAAATTCACCAATAACAGCTGATGCAAATTGTATATATACATATATTGGAGTTTTATTGTAGGCCATTTGACTTTTTGATCAAATTATTTCCATTTCGAATATTTGGCGGAAAAATAATAACTATTATTATAATACAATTTTTTTTTTTTAACTATTAGTAATATATCTTGTCTCACACAATATACACTATTCGATTGTATTCATAAATTATTTTAAAAAAATTGTCGATAATTTGACTACACTATACCAACAGTCGAATGGTCAACAAACGATTAATAATCATTTCACTTTTTAAATGTTTGATTACCAAGTATAAAAGTTAAACGCGTTGTCTAATAGTAATGTTGGTGATCTGAGTCAATGCTTTTGCCAATAGCATTTTCTAAAATATCTCGATTGTCCGAAGTGAACTGCCAAGATCTGGAGCAACAGAAATTTCTGTCTTTTTATATTACACTTAAGACCTACGTCGTACAAAAGCCTCTCCCCTGATTGATATACCTTAATATTATGACACATTACTTGTAGCAGAATTTTGTATAATATGTAAAAGAACTGGCTGGTGGATGCTTTATGTAACTAAATGCATAATCCATTCAGAGAATACGACGTGTCCCTTTAACGTTCACAACTTAATCCATATTGTGTAAAAGACTGTAAAAATAGTTACCAGAACACATAATTGGCAGTATTAATGTATAAAACAGTTTTTATTCAAATATTACACATCTATATTATATTATATAATTTATTCTTTGTTACAATTCGATAAAAATCAATATTTAATTGGTTCTAATATAAAAATAATCTTTTAAACGCGTAAAAATGGTAAAAATTCACAATAATTATTTAATTAAAAAGTGAAAGACAAGGAATGAGAAGCCTAAGCCGCTTATGTTTATAATATATCTATATATGAATACGGTTAAGTCTTATGAATTATTATAAATGACAATACAAGTTAAAAAAAAAAAAAACAATTTCATTATTTGATCACGAGCGATGCGTGAAAAGATAGTTTCGACATCAAGTTGTTATTATGATGACAATAGTACGATGAATTGTTTCTCTTTTTTTTATCGCGACCATAGTGTTTGGCTGGATCAGCCGCCGTGCCACCGTCGCCCCCGTTAGGCTTTCGAGTGTCGGTCGGGAAAAAATTCCATATCCTGAGAGATTCGTCGGTACTCGTGAAAGCTTAAAAAAGACAAAAATAAAATATTATTGAGTGAAATATTAAAATATTTACAAATCCATTATCTTATATATTAAATATATAAAAAAAAACCACTACAATTACCAACTCGACAACCGTTTGGACTCCAAGCCGTGAACAAACCTTTACCCGAGTTGCTACCGCTTAACATGTCGACAATATACGTCAGACTATGCATGACGACGACTCCGTGTTCTACGATGACGACGCTGTTATTTTGATTGGAATTTTTGCCTAATAAAATAAATATAATAATAATATTATGTTATGTATATATTTTTTAAATAAAAGTTAGATGGAATAAAATATTAACAATAAAATAGTAAAATTTTAATGTGGACAAGTTTTATTAAATATATATTTAATTCAAAGGCTAGGTTTTTTCTCCTTGGACTTCTCCTTATTTGTGAGGCGTATTTAATTATTGGTTCAAGTGAAAAATTAAGTTTTTTTATTGACTAATGTTTGTTTCACCTATTTGTTGATATTCTAAGTAAAGGTCATAAAAAAATAATTATGTGTTATACTACTTTTATAATAAATAAAAAAAGACAATAGTACAAAGTATTTTTGATCACTGATAATAAATCAAAAACTTGAAATAATTACATTTTTACATAAAAGTGCTACTTGCCAACCTAACCTAGCCTCTATTTTTTTTTTAATCTTAAATAATTAGGATAATTGTTTTTTTACCATCCAAAAGAACACACTTGTCACAAGAATAAAAAAAAAAAAAACAATTTTTTTTGTTTTTATATTTAACCACATAAATTTATAAACAAACATTAACGACTTACGGTAAACTGTGGAAGCCGACACTAACAGCTCTCCCGTGAAACGACTAAAAGTCATGCAATGGGTGTCGACGGATAAAATTTGTATTGTCGGACACGGTTGACTGGTGGTCTGTTCCACTCGTTTTAGCACTTGACCGCGACAAGCATTGGCTAATACGAGCCACGACGGCAAAGGCCTGGTCAATAAATCGTAACTTTTCACGGGCGTAACCGCGTAACATACTAGAGAAAATTTCCACGGATGCCAAGCTAGAGCCTGGAACAAAAAAAAAAAACAAATGTACTTATTTATTTAAATACAATAGGTAGTAGAATTTTGTTTTAATAAATGTCCAGTAATTATTAACAATTGTTTGCATACTTTTATCACCCAGCCTCCTTGTTCTCTATCTTTACTGTTGTAGGTGTCCGTTAACACTTCGGTTAAAGTCAACTTTGACTTGTTGTCGGTAAACGAGTCAAGACCAATCACGGCATCGTCGGCGTTTTGTCCACAGTGATCTACCGTTGTTTTTCCGATACGCCACAATTTCAATTTGCATCGTAGTTGCGAATGAAATGCAACGGCCAGATATCGGCTTTCCGAATCTTGTGACAAATGCATACAGCTTATCATCGTTTGGAGTTTGCTGTTGGTGTGTATGACGCGTACAACGTTCAGTTGATGTAATTTGCTAATATAACGATAAAACGTAATTGTTGCTCTCGTACAGCCCCTGAGCAGGAAAAAATTACAAATATTTTTGTACACACAATGGAATACAAATTTTATTGAAACAAAACACATGTGTTGAACTATTGATCAAGTAGGCAAACATCCGTTTACCTATCTGTGTAAGTAAATCGACGCTGAAACAACTACCTAACTCAACTTGGGTATATATTTTGCGTACTCACGTTACCAAAATTTGTCCATCGGCCAACCAATCCATTGCAACCGTACTACAGTCGTTAGTAAAATCAGACGATTTGTGTACACATCCGCATGCCACGGATGTGACACATTCGAGTTGCACAAAGCTGGCTTCCTCGTTTAATAGCCAGATCTGAAAAGACAGAAACACAATATTACAGTAGTAGGTAGTAGTTTTAAGTTGTTTTAATAATATTGTTTGTACCTTAATAGAATTAGTTTGTTTCTTTGATATGGCCGACGAATCATTTTGTTCCGCGTGTTCAATACTGTCCGTTAAATCGATTCTTTCATTTACAACAGCAGCAGTGCTAGTTTGCAGTGTATTATTATCATCAACATTGGTATCGTCTACACTGTACATATGTTCATCGGCTTCATCTACTACAGTGTTTATGTCGGCGTTTGGGATGCTGCGAGTAAACGAACTACTGGTGGCGCTCAAGTCTAAATCAAAACTGTCCAAGTCCTGATGGCTGCAGACGGCATACGCCAATTTCGTACCTCGTCTATCCCATTTCAAACAAGTAATACGAGTTACGTTGTCGATTTCGGGGCTAGTGATGATTTTGTGTTGAATGCTTTGAGTTTGCGACGACCACAGGTAAATTGACGATTGAATTGCGGCCGTTAAATAACCTGTCGAGCTCCAGTCTATTACTTTTGTCACTGTACAAAAACAAAAATTGGGAGGGGGGGGGGAGTTACTCGTTATGTTAAATTTGTGTGAAATTAATTTACATACTCCAATCGTCCGATAAGTTCGGCATGTCCAACATTTGATTTCTAGCATCGTTGTTGGTGTTTAAATGATGTCTTTTGACTTTTCTATAGTTAACCATACGAAGAGGCCATGTCATACCTTCTTGAGAATCGTAGTTATAATGTTTGGCCTCGTCGTGTTTTCTCGATAAACCGTACAATAGATGTCCGCCGTTAGCCAGCGAAATTATAGACTGTAGTTGTAAAAATGCTCGACGCTGCTGTTCACGTTGACGTTGATACTCATAAGGCTGTAATTCATAAACCAACAGAACACAAAAAAAATTATTAATATATGTGTATACAGTGTATTAACTACTATAATAGGTACAATATTTCTAAATAAATGTAACGTACAGCAACTCAATAAATTGGCTTTTTTTAATTTCATCGACTACACTATTGTCGGTAACAACAGTTTATAGTTTTAAAAAAAAAAATATTATTAATATGAATTTTTTTTTTTTACCTACTTAATTTTAATAAGTTATACAATCAATAGTGGAAAATTAGGGAGCGGTTTGGTGGATGTTCAAATTAATTAACAAATCTTTTGAGTATGGGTGTACTTAAAACAAATTTAAAGTTTAGGAGAACTGAACTCTGTTTGAATAACCAAGTTTTACCATACAATTTTAGGTATATAAAGACCAAATTAATAAGTTTTAAACATTGACAAACCGTATCGTAAGAAAAATCTTCATAAGCACAGGACGCCCACTCTTGATCGAGATAATAACTTGTCGAATGTGCCAAGCAGTATTGTCTGTCCGGTACGTAACGATCTTTACCTTGATCAAAACGGAACATTATACGAGTATGTTTTTATGATAAAATCGTGCGTCTTAAGTTTTATTGAAGTAATTTTTTTCTTTCTTTTTAAATAGGCAAATTGCCAATTTTTCTTACAAACGTGTACCGAAAACAAGTGAGTCAGTACGGAAACTATAATTACGAGCAAAAATATACTATGAAAACGTTTACATAAATACATATTATTGTACAATGGTGTAATCGCCTCGAGTTTGGGAAAGTACAATTTACAACGGGTCAAAAAAAAAAAAAAATATCCAATTAAACTCCGCACACGTTAATAGTCATTGACATGTTAAACATGTATTGACGATAATTATTTGAATGTGTATCACATTATTATATTTATACCTACTTGTCATGCACAACAATAGACTTACTCGACAAAACGACAGACCTGTAACACATTTTGGAGACGGCGTTGTTTACATGTTGATAAGTCTAAGATGGATAAGACGTGTGTGTCAGGTACGTCATAGGATACAAAGATATACCTATATGTAGGTATATTTATATTTTAATTATTATTATTGAGATTAATTCGGAATTCAAATGAAAACAACATGATAAAACTTTCATCATAAAAAAACACACAGGTACATTCAGAACTTACGTTATCAATATTGACAACATGGCTGCCGGCGTTTTCTCGGCAAAAGTACACGGCCGCCCGAGAACGACGGCAGCCATTTTCAATGTTATCACAAGTTCGCCAACATACCTATGTTTTATGCCATGCTTTTAATATTAACAAATAATATTATTATCTTGGCATTAACTGTGAAAATTCAAATTTGTTTATTAGAACTGTGGCTGTCCTCGTCCCCTTTGGAGCTTTATTTTAATTTTCGATGCAGAGCAGCGAAAGTATTGGTTTTACTATGATGTGTGTTTTTTTGTGTCTGTAAACTTGTTGTCAAACTTTTTGTTTTAAATTTCCAGTCTGTGATAATTATTTGTACCTACATCCGAAGCTGTAATGCAGGTTCGTGTAAACCTTAACCGTTCCTATTTATTTTAGATTTGTGTGTACTGTTGAATTGTTGTTAATGTTTATGATTTGTACACGGTTAGGGTTGTAAGCTGCAGCTGGTCAGTTAGTAGTTTTTTTGTGATAACCGTGAGTGCATATAACTTGAAGTTGAATAATATTAGTAATAATAATTAGTAAATTATACACTATTGAATTTATAGTCTGTTTTGGTCTCGATCGACTCGAATTTTTATTTTGTCTTTCCTTCCAAATTTTGATAATTATCTACACAACAATTTAAAGGTTATATTAAACTGTTATATAATATATAAAATATATATTGCATTTTTTTAAGGATAGTGACACACAATGAATTCTAACCGAGTTCCGAGCAAACGTCGTGCGCTTCATCGATACAACAATGTCGACAGATGATTTCAGAATTTACCCGATCCAAGTTTAATAAATCATTTCTAGATTTCCCCAAAACACTCGTGTAGAAATTGTATTTAAACTTAAGAGGATTGTATGTAAAATATTGTTGTTGGAAAAAAATCAAGGATTTTGTATACAGGCATCGCCTGTATCGAGCGCCACTACAGCCTACGCCGCCTGTGTAATTGTACTGACATTATCCTAATAACGATTCACCATAGGGTTTGCTTTTATTACACATTATCTTGTACAATTTACATAATATTGAGTTTTATTAGTTAGTTTTTTTATAATTAATTTGTTTGATAATAGCCAGCTTTGTATAATGGCACTTGGCTGTTGTCTTGTAGAGTCTAGAGAATAGCCACATGGGATGTGTATAAGGACATAATATTGATTGAATAGTTCTAAAATAAAATAAAAACTAAAAATTTAGAAACTAGAAAATATCAATATTATATTATGATCAAAATATTGTAGCACTACTCAATCAATTTTTTTTTTTACATGCCTTTTTTAAGCCGCTATCAAGGAGACTGTGACGGTCTGAAAAAATGTACTACCAAAAAATTAGTCCTAATTAAATAAAAAACAGTGCAGTATAAATCAAGCTCAAACAAAGTTTGAAAACTAATATAGTATATACACAACTAAGTATATGGACATAAACGAAGTGAATTTATAAAAATTCAACGTTAGCACAAAGTTAAATTATATTACCTATAAAATAATTAATTAATAAATCATTAATTTAAAAAAAAATGTGAAATTAAAAACACAACTTATGCCAGCAACGGCTGCTCTGCGAGCTTGTTAAATTCTGAATTTCAAAACTTATTTTAAACATTAAATTCTGAATTTCATAACAATTTTCAAACAATTTGATTAATGTTGTGAATTATTTGTATGCAGTAGTCAGTCCTAAATAAAATGTTGGCCGCAGACAGCACTCCCATAACCCAATTTAATATTTTCTTAGCAGTTTCCAAATACCATTGAGTAATAATAGGTTTAGATTGGTTCATGGTTTTATATTCCACAAAAAAACCAATAACATGTGTTATGTTTGATGTAAATGGATAGGCCGGACAAAAAAAGGGTGTTTTTGAAAAAGAATCAAAAACCAATATGTTTATTGAACTAAAAAAATACTGTAGATTTTTATTATCAAAGTTTTTATACATCGGGTGTGAAATTAGACTAGTGTTCTCGACCAATGTTTTTTGTCATTAGATCAGAATACATAATTTTATTTGATTTGAAACTTGGCAATTTGTCACAGGCTGTTACGCAACTTTTTATTTTAAATATTTGAATAGTGCATACGGTTTAATATACATTATTTTCAAGTACTGTGATAGTTTGACTTTGATATGCCTTATAGCCAGGGAGCTGTAAATATTGTATTTTGCCCAACCTTAGTGTTGCCTCACACTTGATTCACCTTCAGTCGATTTTTCAAAATTCAAATAAGCCGTGCCATATCTAGTTTCCAAATGCCATAATTTCAAATTAAACACAAATTCACAATTTGTTTGCTTTAAAAAATAAACGTACTAATTCTTATTTATCCTCCATTGTAAATACTTGAACGACTACTGCAAATTCAGTGAAATTAAGATTATTTTTTGTAATATAGGTGATATTAAGTCAACATTTAAAGTGTAGTTGTAAACATGTTTTTGTTATTTTGTACATTTTTCTTATAATGTACTTTATTTTTGTAACACTAATTTTTGTAAATATAATTAATACTGTAAAATAATACATAATTGAAAGTGTTAAAAAAGTAGTCAAAGTAAACGAATGTAGCCAAATAACGGTTAAAAACGTTTAGTACTTTTTCTAAGGGTCTAAAAAAGGTGGACTTTTTATAAACTTATACGCTTGATTTTCTTTTTAAATAAAAAATACAAAAACAGAGCAATCTTTAGCAATTGATATTTTGATTATTTTTTTATGCTAACTACTAAAAGTAACGATAATTATGTGAAATATTGAAATTTGCCATATACAGTCGAACAACCGGTGGCCTCAGTTGACAGTGGGACAAAATATATATTATAGGGAAATTGTGAAATGTAGTATCTACATTTTTTTTTATGTAACTAACTAAAAGTTGTAACAGTAAATCATTTAAAAACTCTCTTTATTGTAATTTAATAGAAAATAAAAGTATAAGGAATAATTAAAAAATTCAAAATTATGGAAAAATGCAAAAAAATTTGAAATCGTCATTATCGCGGTTACAATTAATTACATTTTTTAAATATAATTTGATCATCTCCATAAAATATTTATGCCAACTGATTGTATAACGATATGAACGCAGAACATTGTTGTGTCGCTTTAACAAGAATTAAATATATCTAGTATTAAAGATATTAAACTATCTTCATTATCGTCATACTGGTTAAATTTGATTTGCCAATTTTCTATAACATCCTCACTCGCAACATTAATATAACATTAAGTTATAATATAAATTGTATGATAACTAGTACCGTCGTTTGGGTAAAGGTGGAGTGGGCATAAATAGTTATCCCCTAAAATTCTGGTAGCACCAAACATCTGGTAGCACCAAATAATTGCCGAGTACTAAAATTAATCAACTGGGAGCAGGTTTAATCTTTAAATTTAATTTCCTCAAAAACACGATTCGTACTAATTGTATGCGATAATTATAGGCTTATTTTTAAGTACATTATTGCCTTCATAGTGCTTTTATCAATACCTATTTCATATTTTTTCTAAATAAAATATACTTTCGGCGGCAATGTCACATTAACAATTTTATGCCTTTTTTTATGAAAATTATTTTATCGACCAGCAATTGTTTTCGTCTTAACTTCTTCCGTTTATTTTTCCTTTAATCCTAATTATTTTTATTACAATTTTCGCTGTTTACATACTTTTTTAAAACACTATCGACATTTAAAAATTAACAGTATTAGCTTCGTTTGATTGTCAAACCGCAAAAAACTTCATCACGCATCCTGATTCAAGACACAGTGATAGTTTTTATAAATTGTTTTTTCAATATGTACTGTTTTTTTTTTTTTTTTTAATTAGTAAAACTCAGTACATTTTTAAGACACTCGGTTCTAACTACTGACGTTTAGAAGAATATGAAAAGATTTTCGAGATTGTTTAAAGCTATAGTAAAATTTTTACTTAATAAAAAAAAAAAAAATTGGGTTTACTTTAAGTTTTTTCTAGAATGGGGCACATAAAATTTAATTAAAAATCTGTAGTAAAGCTTTGTTTTATTAGGGAAAAACCAAACTAAAAGGGGGTGGGGGGGGGTTACGATTTTACGGTAGTAGGTTTGTAGGTGACAATGAGTAAGGGTGAATCAACAGTCAACAGCTGGTATCTGAAATATATTTGCATAATGGTGTAGGTTTTTTTTTTGTCTGTATAGACTGCTCTTTTTTAGGGGTGCAACGTTTTTTGTGTTTTTAGCAGTAATTATAAGACCTATTAGTTGTAAACATTTTTCAGGAGTCACAACTCATAGTGTTATGTATCCATAACATATTAGACGAATAACAAAATTCTGGAGTACATTTTTTTTTTAATTGCCGGAAAACTGTTTTTTGCAGATGTTAAATGTTTAAAAAAAAATTATCAAATCATGCCAATATTTTAACGGATTCTATTTAGAGTGGTCCCGGTAAGTTTTGAGTGGCCAATCATAAGTTTTAGGTTTTAATGACATTTTTTAAAAGTGATTTTATCACATTCACAAAAAAAAAATGTACTCAGACATTCTCATGTGTGCACAAGTGCCGAAATTTTATGTTTTTTTGAAAATATTTTCAATATATTATAACCTTAGCATTTTCAATATAAAATGTGCCATCGACAAAATCGCACGTGGAAAAACCGAAATTTTGACAACCCCCCATCCCCTCCTGCGAGAAAGGTTGACATATTTTTTGCGCATTTTTAAGATTTAAGAAGTGATAATTAGTCTGAAGATAGGTCTAACAAATAACATAAAACATCAGTGCAGTGTATTTATGAATAGGACGTTTACTTTTTTAATTCTGTAATTAGATTATTTTTTTTTAATTTTT